AACTGTTGATTTTTTAAGATTTACATTCCCATTTACTGTTGATTTTTTAAGATTCATAAATAAAATATTTATACTGTATTTATCTTCATGTATTACAAAACTCAATGAATATTCTAACTAATTTTGATATAAGAAATCCTTGATAATTGCTTAATAATACCGTAAAGAATAAACCGACGAAATAGAACCTGATCAAATAAATATGATTTATTCAAAAACTTTTGCAATTAAATCGAGAGTCGTTAGTATTGTTTATAGTAAAGTCTGCCCACCACTACAATGATATAGATATAACTTGTTCATAATAATATGTTATGGATAGTGAAATTACGTATTCAAAATCGAAACTTGATCTGTTCCTTTCACGACCACCCGACAAACTTGACCTACACGCATTGTTGCACAACCCGAATATATTTAATGTTCATCTTATTTAAATGATAGCTTTTTAACAACAAATATGTCATGGCAACTATAGATGCTCTTGAATTATCGAGTACGTGAGGTAATCAACCATAAATTCACAGTCCTCAGTAAAATGGTTTTTACAAATATATAAAACACGCTTCATTGAATATAATATTGTAGAAAAAATTTATATGTCACAATCGTACTCATTAAAATATATACTCATAGGATGTTTAGCAATATACACAATTTCGTAAGATACACCAGGGTTGCCATTAACAAGTAACAAGAAAGTCCTTGTATTGATCTCATTTGCTCCCTAAATGCAATATATATTCACACTACAATGGCTGAATCGTGCACGCCATGTGTATTACAAATTATCTAGCAAAAATCCTACATCAACACCGTCCTGTTTCACATTGTATAATTTCGTAATACGTCATGTTTTCGTTAGACATGTTTCTTTAAGTGGCAATAAAAGCTATGTTACAATTTTGAGCAAATTAACAGCCCTGTGGTAGGCGTTTTGAATACTCGTATGTATTTTTAATTTGTGTTCCTATAGTCATTCTGTATAACGTTCCTTGAGAGGATAATAGATAAATAAACAAAGAGCATGAATATAATGATTTATCAATCATAAAACGGATAGATATAATTTTATGTTTCCATTTAATACTTTACTGTGTAATATTAATTTATTTATATTAAACAGTCATACTTAAGTATATTTCATTATTGTTATTTATTTATTTTTAAGTAATATTTTATGATTTTATTTATATTACGACAAGTATTAATTTTTACTTATATTATATTACCACATTACGGTTGTTATTTTGTTTACTGAAAGTATAAAAAGATCTTCGAAATATTCGACATTAAACCTTTTTGGATATTTTGGATGGCCGAATGTTGACACTGGCATACACTACTGACCTACATTCATTGATTTAAAAAGGATTCGGTACAACTGACTCTACTTGTATGTCGTCATCTTACCCATACCCGCTGTAAATCTCTTATACAACGAAATTTATTTTATATCCTTTATAAAATATCGTAAACAAAATTATTAAATTTCACACAAGCTTACGTTGGTATCCAATGCGATGTCGTTGACCAACTGTCGCAACTCCCTGTTCGTATTAGTACATAATTAATTCAAGGGAATATTGCTCTTGGAATTAATGGTAGCCCTAACGAGATCCTCGACCCCAAATACTAGTGGTTCTCATTAGCAAACGAGGCGCGACAACAGTTCACAAGTTGTGATGAGAAAATAAACACTTCATTTCTATACCATAATTATAACAACATTTTTTTCATAAAGATATATATCCGACCTTATTATTCACAAAAAATCTCAACAAAAACAATACGCAATTCGAAGACTATTACGATACAAAAAAAAGTAATGTAAATAATCTCTTGTACAAATAAATATAACTAAAATTTATTTTTAACACAATCTTCGTTTAACATATTTCTGTAATCCAATTTATTTTTGTAGAAAAACTCCTGCAACGATATCGAAAGCTTTGGGTATAAAAATATATTCAATTCACTTAATTTTAATACAAACAATAAAGTCTCGAATAACTGCTAATGCATGGATAACATAAAACGCTTTAGCACACTCTCATTACATCAATGAAACGAGCATCTTCCGTATGACATTGAACTTAACACAATATAATGTTAGCTCGCGTAATACGTATAATATCGTAGAAGTTATAATGGCCTGTAAATTCAACTAGCGCTCTGATATTAAATCAATGTTTCATTACAGGCTTTCAAGTCTGATCTCGGTTTGTGGCATTCCGCCAGAAATACTTAGATGATAGCTAATAAATAAACATAATTGTTTATAGAGACTACGTTTCTGAAGACACTTTTATTTCATTATGTTGTGTTTTTATATCTTGCTACTAAGTTTTCCATGACCGTAATGACCCAGCAATCTTTTTACGCCCTCGATAGTTTTCGATATTAGATAACAGGACCTAGGTGTTCATAAACTTTTGATCAATATATTATAACTACTTGTTACAAATATTTATAACATATTCACAAAGTTAGAACTATCTAAAGAGTCTTAAAGAATAAAATAACGAAAAACTAGACATGAATACTTGAAATTTTATAACTTTCAAAGTACCAATTTAATATAAAATATTTTTCTTTTTGCTACTTTATGATATACAATAAAACAAAAACATAACGTCATTAATAATATATATAGATAAACGAAGTTTCGTCATCTTTTAACACCAACAGGCAACATATTCTATAAAGAAATTTTCACATACATTGATGGGAACACCACTTTATGTAAAAACGTTAAAACCGTCAGTATTAAGTTAAGAATATTAACTCGTACTACGGATATGAAAACGAAATAACTCATAAAAATCGACATAAAATGACAATAAAGAATAACCTTCAATAGTGTTAGGGTCACTGATTTTATATGTAACTCTAAGCGACTCGTAGTTAAAACATCAATGTGGAAGGCAAGTCATAATATATAATAGTTTATAAATTATAAATAATGTACTTAAATCTTCTATGTATCAAATTTTTTATATACATTATGTTATATAAACAAAATTTTATAATATAACAAACACCGGAAATAAGTACTCATAATACAGAGGTTCTGGCATTTCAAGACCAAGTCATTGAAAAATGGGTCGAGTTTAAAATATAAATCCGACTAGCACGTAACGTAATGTAAGGTCAATGTAAATGGTTAAATGGTAATTATTACTACAGGTAACCTAGATTGCTATAATATTCCGTCAGTAACCGAACGGTATAACGAGATTATGCAATTAACAGCTCCAGACTTTGTCTTCATTATATTTAACGACGTATTCAAGCATTTTTTCTTATAATTAACATGTATGTAAACGAATAATTCTTAATTTAATGCAATCTGTTATATCTTGAGAACATTGCGAATTAAAATATGAAATATTAAGCAAATTGAACTGAGACTACTCTATAATGTATGTGGTAAGATTTGTTTAAAATTTTAATAAATTAACCAGGTCATAAAAATTTTATGAAATATACAATTTGTAATTTTTTCAAAGTAATAATTAATAGTACAAGCACAATTAATAAAAAAGGAGTATTGTATGTTTAATACAACTCTAAATGGGTACAGACGTCTATAAACAACCGAAGAAACGCTTAGTTTCCGGCGAATGAAATTAAGAAAGTAAAAGGGTATAGGTTTGAGAACAAAATAAGGGTATCCGGCTCTTTGATTCAACGCTCAAAACATAAGTATAACAGATACTTCACACGCATCGTGTGTTAATGAACTACTTTAACGAACAACGATTTTACTTCATGTTAATCATATGTATGCATTTATTTAAAACATGAATGAACTTGCAAAATCCAAATACTATTATATAATATTTTTTTCTTTAACATTGTTTCAATTGATTTTCATTTCAAAAAGTAAATGGTTAAATCTTATTGACCTTCAGATATTATAATAAAAATTTATATATATACGTAGAATTCAATAAATGTTAGAAAGTATTTTGAAAAATACCTCAAAGCAATTATTATCAAATCTACATATATTCTCCAAATCTCTGCATCCAATAAGTGTATTTCGTATCTCAAAATTAGGATCAAATTCATATTTCATGAGCGTGAAACCGCAAAATGAGGTTTGAAATTAATTCATTTATTAAACCGGAGAGAAATTATTAGCGTTAGTTATTTAAAGAATGACAAACTGCCAATTAGATTATTGGAACGGCAGCAATATTTAATAAATGTACAAAGCATCTATACAAGTAGCTTAATCATTCTTTACATATAGCTATTTAAACAAAGAACTAAAAAACAAACTATATAGAAAAATAATTAAAATACTAATTTAAAACTAATTCTAATTTAAAATAATTAACTGTGATTGAATATTTCAACTTTATATACAATGCTATTATTACGGTCAATGACAAAATTAACATATTTCTTTAAATTGTTTACAGCCTCGCATTATTCAAATGGTTCTTATCTTTTTAAATACAACGCCTTCACACGCGAGCAAAGGTCAAAAATATTCATTTTTACCCGAAAAAGTCATTGCATATTTGGCTGATATATTATTACATTTCTAATTGTTTTAAAATCTAATTTTTTACAAAAATGATATCAAACTTAATTGCATAAAAAAAAATTCTGAGAACAACTATAAATTACCCCATTTCAATAAGTAAGATCACATACCTACAGATGAATCTTAAGTATTAAATCATCTGAGAAAATGTTTTAGAATGCGTGTCTTGGTTCAATAATAAGGTGCTATGATTTAATTCTACATGATCTGTATCAACGATTAGCTTCTTTATCTGTATGAATTCTAATCTGTATTCATGTAAGGTGCCTGTAAAGCCTATAGTCGTTTATATTCATAGCAATATCATGAAGCCATAACTATTTATTAGGACCTACTAACCGACGAACACGCTAAATTAGATAACTTTTAATAGAATTTAACGTCAGTGAAAGATCCATAAGAAATAATACAGCTTCATATTATTTTCAGATAAAATAAAATGAAGCTATTCATTTTTGTTTATATAATTCTGAAAACTACGGAAGCTTCTATGGAGAGGTATAATTTCTTAGATTTTTGGACGAATCTATTCCGACCGATTCCACGTTTGGCAAAGGAGGGATTTGTTCCCGATTATACGCCGAAAGAGGGACAGGAATATGATTTCATTATTGTCGGAGCCGGGTCTGCGGGATGTGTATTAGCTAATAGGCTATCCGAGATATCCGAATGGAAAGTATTGATATTAGAGGCTGGGGGAAATGAGAATTATTTCTCCGATATTCCTATATTCGCACCATTTCTTTCAATTACACCCATGAATTGGGGTTACGTATCTGAACCACAACAAAAGGCCTGTCGTAATTTGAGAGATCATGTTTGTTATATGCCTCGAGGCAAAGTTCTCGGGGGCAGCAGCGTACTTAACTTTTTAATATACCAAAGAGGTCATCCCGAAGATTATAACGATTGGGTCAGAATGGGTAACGAGGGTTGGAGCTACAATGAAGTTTTACCATACTTTAAGAAATCCGAAAATATACATATAAAAGAACTTCTAAACTCCACTTATCATGGCAAAGGAGGTTATTTAGACATTGATTATTCTTCATTTTCAACGCCACTCAATGATGCATTCAAGAACGCTGGTCACGAACTCGGGTACGAATGGAATGACCCCAATGGAGAAAATGTAATCGGTTTTTCAAAACCTCAAGCGACAATAAGAAAAGGAAGACGGTGTAGCTCGTCGAAAGCATTTTTAGAACCCGTAAGATATAGAAGAAACCTTAAAGTATCCAAATATTCCACAGCAACGAAAATATTAATCGACCCTCTTACGAAAAGAGCTAATGGAGTGGAATTTATAAAGAACAATAAGATGTAAGTAAAAACATATTTAAAAAAATTACTATAATGTTCTAGAAAAATGTAACAACAATTTCATTTAACTATTAATGGATATACATTACACTTATTACGTTACTCAAAGCCATTAATGTAGACTACCTTTTTATACTCAAACCTCTAGAGTAGGGTATTAAATAAAAAGCCCCTGTTAAACAATGTCTGAATTTATTTTAAATCAATATACTTTTTTATCACGTAACATCGTGTAGAAACAATTTTACGTATTTATAAAACATACGAAAATATAACTAAAAATTGGTAATACATTTTACAATTTACATAAGTCCCATTGCATGATACGAATATATTATGACTGAAAGCATTAAATTACGGAATATTAAACAATTTGTCTGTTTAAAGTGTTTCGAAACCACATATATCGTAATTTTCGATAAATTGAGTCCACATATGGAACAGATTACTTGCAATTGAGTTTTAATTTATAAAGCATTTAAGAAAGCCTTATAAATTTATACAATGGAGCCTAATCCGTAAACTAGACGAAACATAAAAATACACCTCAATATAAAATTTGCCTTTTCTTAAGAAAATGTTTTTAATATTTATCCATATTACATATATCATGATAATATTTTCAGAAAGCGAATATACGCCCGTCGTGAGGTTGTACTTGCTGGTGGCACGATAGGGTCTGCCCAATTATTAATGCTATCGGGAGTGGGCCCTAAAGAACACTTAAGCGAACTTGGAATACAAACTATAGTCGACCTGCCTGTAGGCTACAACCTTCAGGATCATGTAACCTTTTCGGGTAATGCCTTTATTGTCAACACCACTGGACTCTGTGTAAACGATGTAAGTTTAAGTATAACTGTTTCAACTATACTCTCATTTATTCTAATGCCATTATTAAAATAATTACCAAATGTATAACGATAAAATGAGGATTATACTTATGTATATCAAATAATTAAGAATTTATCAATTTCTAGACACATTTAAACATACGTAAAGAGAGATCCTTTTTTTGAGCGATAAGATCGCCCTTTGTATACTGTATTTCTTTTTTCTCTTTTGTTATTTCTTTGTTTTTATTTTGAGGTTCTACAATGCAGAGTATTATAATTATTACACATGTTACGTACTTTTTGGTTTTCAGATAGGAATGAGTGTCAATTGAAATCAAATTACTATTTTTACATATATAATATTAGAATTCAATCAAGAAGCAATAATTTTACTCATCAGATGTTAGCTGCATCTCCGGCATCAGCGGTGTCATATATGTTGGGGGGCGGTCCATTAACTATACCGGGGGGTGCCACCGGACTTGCCTTCATACAAACAGACTACGCAAAAGACATGAGTGGAAGACCTGATATAGAAATGGTGATGGGTGCGGGATCACTCGCTGGAGATCTGCTCGGAATTATACGGTCTATGCTTGGTGAGTGAACGCTCTCGAAAATTTAGTGTTGATAGTTTATCTATTAGCAAATTTAGTGTGATGTTCCCAGGACTATTGATGACATCAATAATAAAGGGACAAAGGGTAAAAGTAATAATATCAAATAACTTGCGATAGAAATTTAAAAGGGGTGGTGCGCTGAAGAATTGAGTTTATAAAGCATTTAGTGTCCAGAGTAGGAAATTTAAACTTATTATTACAGAATACAATAAAATTTAAGAAAACGGCATACAAACTGACATTAAACATAATATTTATATATTGCTAAAATTTTAACACATGGCTTTGAAGATGTCACAGTTGAATATCTATTATCTTATGCAGCGCAATATACATATGTACAAATGATCGACATTTTTACACGAAAGATTGGTACCAATCTGATTTAACTATTTAGTTCAATAACTTCACTCGTTAGTGTGAATATAAAGTTTTCTATGCTTGACAATTTCAATTCATATGAATAAACTAACATGCAATAGCAAAACTTGAATCATTTCAGGTGTAACTGATGAATGGTACCGAGAAGTTTACGGTTCTCTCCCACTCAATGAGAGACAGCAGTCGTTCGCTTTGAACCCGGTTTTAATTCGACCTAGAAGCGTCGGCCGTATGAAACTTAGTTCATCAAACTTCACAGATCAACCAAGAATACAACCGAACTATTTCGAACATCCCGACGATTTACAAGCCATTAAGGAGGGAGTGAGATTTGTAAGATTCGTGAATAATATAACAAACTATTTGTTATCTATGTTATAGCAAACATATATAAGATTGCCAGATACAATAACGTAACATACATATAATTAAATCTGTGTCAAATATAATTTGGAACGTATTTCGATGATCACATTAAAATTATCTCATGCGAAATGTAGCAACGTGAAACATTTACATGACATATTGAATTGTATTAATTAAACAGGTTATTGGTAACCATGTTGATAAACGCACGGGTCACTAATAAACCGTACGTAACTAAAATGGTTTATGAAACACAAGACGTTAACCTTGACAGATTTTGTTGACACACAAAAAATAGATTATAATAATTTCAAAATAGTAAACACTTAAATTATGGCATACTTAGTAATTCAACTTTAAATAATTCTATTAAAAATCGTGCCCAGATAGAGTAATATAAAACTACATATATCTAAAATGTTAGGGTATCAATAAAAAAATTTAGACCAAACATTTTATAAAATATTAATAACTGAGCAAAACTTTAGAGATTTTCCATGTCTTCTTTTTAATCCCATAAATCATCTTTACCTACCTGGCGACAATTTTATTCAATCAACGAAACTCAGTGATATATAAGATTTTCGCATGTATTCGTTTAAAATAAAACAAAGATTTTCGCATAAACTACCCGTGATTATGCTTGTTGCCAAGGAACCGAAACACCGGGAGTACCTATGTAATTTTATAAATATGTAATAAAAATCCCGTAGTATAACCAAAAATCTTAGTATTATTTAAACGAAATTTAATTCACGAGTGACGTATATTTAATTAATACTTGCAGGCACAAAAAATCATACAAACAAAAGCGTTCCAGCGATACGGGACTCGACTCCACAATACACCATTCCCAAATTGCCGACACTTGACCTTCGACTCGGACGAGTATTGGGAGTGTGCCATCGAACAGACCTCCATCACGCTAGATCACCTGGTATGTATATAAGTATTCTAAAAACCTTCAAATTATACACGAATCTCATACAAATTACATTATAATCATGTAATAAAACGAGTTTATGATAGTCAAAAAAATTGTCATCACATATTTCTAAATCATGTTTCTAATCTCAAGAATAAAATCGTTAGGAGCATGTTATTTTCCAAGTGTGAATCAGTGCTCTCAAATATTAGGATATTCAAAATGTTAAAAGTTATGTTTTTGAAATTTGATTTACCTTAGGAGATAAAAAAATATATTTTTATTTTATGTCCAATTGTATGCTGTATTTAAGTATTTTATTATTGAAACATCGCGGGAACTTTTTACCCGATATTCTGATATCTGATGTATCCTATGTAAAAATAAACATAAAAACCGGCTTACGTATTAACTTCAAGAGAAAAAGTGACCTCCATAAAAAGAACAAACGAAAATAAATAAGGGTTCACAGAAGTCCGAAACAAGAACAAGATTCTTTTAAGTTCTTTCGACGTGTTAAATACTTTCTTATAATTTATTGAGCAGAAAAAATACTGAACAAATTAAAAAAAATAAGCCCTCCATTGACAAAACTTTTTTACTAATAAAATAGAACTTTTGTAATAATGAAATAAATTCTGCTTCCATTGCTACTCTTAATCTATTTGCTACGTAAGGATTACGTCACAGATTTTTCAATTATCAATATTTAAATTTAAAACCTATTGAAATTTGCAAATTGAAATAAGAAAAAGTATTTATTCATCGCAATATCACTTCTTATGTACATCATCACAAATTATTCTATAAGCGTTGATAACACTAATACTAAATAAATCATGTGTATGAAAAAAAATCTGGAACAATATTAGCCCTATTATTAAAACTAGTCAAGATGTAACGAACAGTAGGCATTTATGGACGCGAGGAATGTACATAGATGCAAGGTGCATTGCTATTGACACAGCGATGTAGGACTACGAGCCTGTACGTGTTTATTGATATACAAACATGTTGCCTTAATAGGTTTCGAAATGTTGACCTTTTTGAAAACACTAGTAGGTATGTATATGTTCCGATATATTTTGAAGTGAAAGTGAAACAAAAGTTACGTAAATTCTTAGTAATGTTTATAAACAGGTTGTTTTATAGCACTTATCACAAACTTAGCGGTCAACGGGAGTTTACGGTGAAGATGTTAATTAATTTAATTGTTCATTAACTATACTCCTGAACATATATTTATATGTAAGGTATAAAGTATCTTTCATATAATTACAGCTATATGACTACATACTTAAGTTGTTATTTTTTATGAGCATTACTGTTAGCTCCGGGGCTTGGACCGAGAGAGTAGGCGGCTGCTGAGACAGCATAAATTGTGTAAATAAAATTTCATTCAAATTGGTTAACTACCAAGTTTATAATCGAATAAGTAAAGGAAATTCAACATACCAAACATAACCAACAGACACACACATGACATTTACTACTGTCTTAGCAACATGTCATGAAAGCATAGTAAATAGAACTTTTACTAATTTCCCATACCTAAATATATAGTATAGGAATACTTTAGATATTTTTTTTCTTGACATAAATAAAACGCATGTGTAGGTATCTTTCCTCTAGGCCTTAGGGAAGTCAGAGAATAAAACAAAGGATTTAAAGAATAAAACAAACTACAGATGGTTACTTCAATATGTCTGGACTAAGTTTTTCAATTAAACACAATAAACGACACTCAGAAACAATTTATTATTTTTATTTTCGGATATTAATTATTATTTACCTTAAATTGTATTATATATACTTCAGCATTCCTTTGCCGAAGTGCATAATAAAATATATAGGTATGTATTTCGATCGATCGATTTCAATAATTTTCGATCTACAATACGCAAATTTCCAATTTCAATACTAAAATATGGAGAACTATTACGTACTTTGAACTATTACGTATCAATGCAGTTAAATATAATTGTATGTAAACATTTATATGTATGTAAATATTTGAGAGATGTTTCCTAATTTCTAAAAGTTTATTTATTTCCACTTTAATTAAAAATTCTTACATGAATTAGTTGAGTAAAATAAAATTTTAAAAGTCAGGGCAATGAAATATTCCTGATTACGCGACATTGTGTTTTGATACTTGTCAATGTGATTTACAAATAACGCTATATCAAAAAAGACAAAATGTTCGAAAAGTAATAAAAAAGAACCAGACCACTCTAAGATGTTAGATATATTTTTCTGGAAGCTTTTCCAAGATCAATTGCTACGAGGACAATCAAGTTTTCAAGGAAACCACAAGAACTTCTCTGACATACATTCCCAGATGGATATTGCTTTATCCTGGAATTATCCGCAACATACTATATTGATTATAAGAAAGTTAGGGACTCAAAACATTTCTTATGTAATATAACACATTTAAAGAATAACAAATATACAACCAGTAGTAAAACGACACAACATATCTTGTTTTGATCTCTATGTTTAATATCCAATTATGTTACGAGAAAATTATAAAATCATAATATACCTAGACGTTATAAAATATGTATAAATGAAATCTATTAAACAATGACACCTGAACAGAACTATATTTTCATGTAATCCAATTAAAAGCTGAATGTCCATAAAGATACCAACGTGATTTTAAACTAATATCATCATTTTCTTGAACCAACGAGACAGACATATGTATGTGTTCTCATTTAGAAATTGCTTTGTAAATATCTATTTGTATATATAATTTGATCTGTCTTTGATACAGGCCGGGACATGCAAAATGGGGTCACAAGGAGACCCATCGGCAGTGGTGTCTCCGCGGTTACTGGTTCATGGAATTCATGGTCTGAGGATAGCCGACGCCTCCATAATGCCTCGTATACCAGCGTCACATACACATGCACCAGTCGTCATGATTGCCGAAAAAGCTGCCGATCTCATTAAAGAGGATTGGAAGCAACCAATTCAAAAATTATGACGTCATAGACTTAAGAAAAATTCTGGCATGTTCTTTTGAACATCCGAATTATTTAAATACCATACCAAAATAATACTTAGCTCATACCTATTAGATGATTGAATTATTTTAAGACCAATTAATGCTTATAGAGTAAGTAAAAGTTAGTGTAACCGTACAAAAGAAGTACGAAATAAAAAGTCGTTAAAATATAATAAAGCTAGTCATAAAATATAAAGATTTTTAATAAAATATGCAGTTGTTTTCATTTTGAACTTTCCTATTTAAGAATAAATACTTTTTACTGTCTATAAATAATAAGTCAGTGGTGGCCTAGTAGTTAAAGGGCCCGCCTCCCGTTGCCGAGGGCGCGGGTTCAAACCTGGCAAGTACCAATGTGATTTTTCCGAGTCATATGTACTTTCTGCAAGTATTTAGACACCACTGCTATCAGTCACCGTCTGTACGGTGAAGGAAAACATCTTGAGGAAACCTGGACTTATAGTTGACCCCCCGCCTTTTCATACCTCCCGCCGCGACGCGAGCGCAGCAACTGATACACAAAATAATCCTTATAGCATGACTCTCTATTCACGCGCGATAACTTATTATTTCAAGTATAACTTTGGTGTTCCTACACCGATTTACAGGATTCTTTTTTATTGAAGAGGTAATAATCAATAATGTTGACTTTTTAAAATTAGGGATGAGTGATAGTGTTGTCAACGTTAGAGTAAACAAATACAATCAGAAATCTCCGAATTGCTAAGCTATCGAGACTTTCAGGTGTTATTGTGAGTCAACCATAAAAGATTAGACATATGCTGTCAGGAACATTTTTTATAAAATTTTAAGGAAAATATTTCCGTTATACATAATTTCGATGTAGCTTTAACCTATAAGCCTGCACACGCGACGAAAGCTTAAAAAATGGTGTAACTTCTCCCGTTTTCCCAATATTTCCCTTCACTGCTCTCCTCCTATTCATTTTAGTGTAATGAAAAGTATACTACAACCTGCCCAAGAGTATGAACAATAATCATGCCAAATTTCGTTAAACCCCGTGGAGTAGTTTTTGTTTCCATAACGAACATACAGACAGACGGACAAAAATTTTACTGATTGCATTTTTGGCATCAGTAGCGATCCCTAACCACCCCTTGATAGTTATTTTTTAAATATATTTTATGTACAGAATTGACTTATCTACAGATTTATTATAAGTATATAGATTCGGAAACTATATTAATCTAAATAAAGGATATTTGTTTGACCAGACATATTTCTGTGCTCTCAAATTTTCAAGCACGTAGTGTTTATAGAGCTTACGGTTCTTAAGGAAACCAACATCCCCAAAGACCATTCCATCAAGGCCAATATGTATTACGAGCTCAGTAACGAATTAGAAAAGGTAGAAGTGTTAGCGACAGGTGTGACAGCTTTATCTCTCTACAACCTACTTAAAGACTTGGGCTTGTCCAGAACTAACATCAATCCATTCTTCGAAGGTGGCCCTAGTAGGTTCATTTCAAATTTGGTTAGGTAGAGAAAAGAGCTGGGACGGTGGAGGTGAGCGTTTAACACGCCTTAGATCCTATATGTAAGGGGCTCCTGCCCCTTAAATCTACACCTGGGTTGCAAGTCCCAGAAACTGTTGATGCTAGTTATCCTGCAACGCAATATACTAAGCACCCGCACTGTGAATCCATACAATACTGAGAAGATTCGTTTTTATCTTTTGAATTAATTTATATGAAAACGGTAATTAGTACTTATAAAGGAAGATATGTCTTCAAAACCTAATGATAATTCATTAAATCAAAATTTTAAAGCTATTTTGGTACAACATTAGAAAAACAATTACTGCATATTACTTTATAAAATTTGTAATTCGTTTTTAATAAGTATTTGAATCCGAACCAACACCATTTATAAAAAAAGGAACTGAGACCAATGGTATCATCTAAATTGTACTAGATGTCACTACTATACTAATACAAACTCATTTCATACTTTTAATATTGCTAATGTTAAGTATAATAATTAATAAAGTATACACAGTAAACATACACCCAAACCTGACATCAACATTCCATATTAAAGTGTATAGATGGAAGAAAAATATACTTTATTTGCTTTTACTAATATAGCATCAGTTATACATATGCCACAACCAGTGTTGTAACTAGGCTTTTATGCACCCGGTGCGAGCTTCCAAAACTGCACCCCTAAAAATGCTCTAACCAGGCTCTAAAATAAAATGGACAAATTTGCATGCAAATAAATCTATCTATTTGTTGTTTACCAAAGTAACAAAGTATATAGCTACCATGGATGAGATAAAACTACATACTAGTCTGGTCATTTCTGCACCCCTCCAGGGTCTGTGCCCTGTGCCTGGCCACTGCTGGCACCGCCCTACTTACTACATTGGAAACAACAATAAATTATACTGTCTGCCACTTCCTACTTTCAGCATATAAATCATTTCTTGTTGTCTGTTTAAGATAAATTTTTATATTCGCCATGTGTATTGTCACCCATTATTATTAAAAAGACTAATATTTTATTTAAGAAACCTAGAACTAAAACTATATTCAATCAAATCTAATAGTCAACTGATTTTAAATGATAATGAATATTTTTTTTCCTTATATACATTGAATAAAACACTGTTATACTAACTAAAATATTTTAATAAACTTAATATTCTATGTAGAAGAGAAGCCAGTTTTTGTTTTTCTATTAAGTTTTCTGTACAAGAAAGACAATCTCTTTTCATATTCTTTCCACTTTGTCGGCCTGATTTGAGGTGATCCAGTATTTGCAAACATCTTCCTCTTTCTGAGTAAAATCTGGTAAATATAAAAAAGTATAATATTACTTTATGTATTTAAAATAATATGTATTTCGATGGTGATGATGCTTTTATACTTATTGCATAGCATAACTATTACTAACATACACACTTTGAAATAGAAAATGATGACTTTACTGTCTATAGAATAAGTATAAAATAATGAATAAATATATATATAATTAAATTAAACTTACATGATATTCCATACCACTGACTCCTCTTATCCACGATGGCACAGAGTACAATGTCTTCACAGGGTGGATTTCACCAGTTCCAAGAATATCAATGTAATCATTTTGCCCAAAAAGTGCCTTACGTCCTGTCCAAGGGTTGTCAGGCCTTAAAAATTAAGTGGCTTAAAAATATATATTATAAATGTGTGAGAAATTGTTATTAGGGATAATTACCGATATTCTGGAATTGGTAAAGGCTTTCCTTCAGACCGAGGCATTAAGCCACCGCTCCAGATTTTCTCTTCATAACCATATCTTCTTACTAATCTGTTTTTATCTGCAAAGTATCTGGTCCTGCAATGCAAATTATTTGTTTATTTCCGATATAAAGCAGCAAATTAATATATTAAATATTTTTTTTTTATATAAGACTAACCTTACAAAATTAAGTGTCGGTCTCCAAATGGTTTTCAGAATAGATGTTCCAAAACGATCCATTATTACAATAGTTTTCAACTCAGGGAAAAAAGCATTTCAAATCATTCAAAGCTCTTTAAGTATTTAGTGTTTAATCCTTGTAACCACCTATTAAAAATATGTATTGCAATGACAGTATTGATATTTTAAACCTTATTGTCAATTGACCACACAGACTGAAAATTAATTGGCATAGGAAAATACTACATAATAATATTTTATTTATATAATTAATAATCTTTAAAATTAAGAACTGTTTATTGTAAGAATTATATTTAGGGAATTGTTACTTGGAAATCTAATTGCTGAAAAGTTATTTACTTTTATAAACTGTTATATTATAAGAAAAAAATGTGTATTGTCTGCGCTTATCGCAATTAAACAAAATGGCTGAACTCCTTTGAGGTTTTTATTTATTGAATTTTATAAGGGAAAGTTCAATAAAAGTATGTATACTACATTACTTTGTTTTCCAAAGATAATGCAATTATCATGTAAATACTCAACAATAGTTTAACTTAAACATACAAAAGAACGTAATTTGGAGATAATAAAACCAAGATAGTGCGCGCATTTGCGTTGTTTGTTTACTTGTGACCAATGTTTTCGACTAACTTTATCAAAACAATGTATAGACGTTCCCCTCAATACTGTACTTACATTAGTTCCCAGATGTAATTTATTCTAAATTAGTATTGTATTATCTTTCAGAAACCTTAAAATATGTCTAAAAAAGAATCAATTGATCAAAACGAAAGAAAGTATGATACCAGCGATTTTGATAATATAATATCACCGCACAGTATATTTGAATCATCAAAACCTAAACACCAGGAGTTACCGAGTTTATCAGGATTTTCTAATGCTGAAACTCAAACAAAACAAAGTGACCTAAAAGGACAAGGGATCCAGAGCGGGCTTGGCTGGCATTATAATCCCTGGTGGATGCTAGCGGGTACTTCTCGAAGTATACAATCACAAGATAACTTCTCAGAAAGCAGTGACCAAACAAAAGTAAAACAAGAACCCAGCGGTGCAGGTACTCCCGATCACGACACCCTACAAAGTGATCTGGATCAATTTCAAACCACACAAACACCTCCACCTCCAGCAGGACTGGATTCCTTTTGTGATGACTGTTCCGACCCTTTTTGTGACTCGAGTATATCTATCTGTCGAAAACTTTTCCATTGTCCACACTGTCGAAAAAGCTATCCTACGATTCTCGAATTTAATACACATCTAACGGGTGTTCATCCAGCACAAAAACCATTTAGATGCCAAATCTGTTTGGAACCATTTTACAAAAAATCTCATTTACGGAGACATTTAGATTCGAACCACACTCGAAAAGATGTAAACAAATGTACTGTATGCTCAAAATATATAAAGGATAAAAGTAACTTACGTAAACATATGCAAGTACACACCGGCCGCGTACCCCAAAAACAGTTCAAGTGTGACCTGTGCAATAACAAACGTTACATGTCTTTAGACAGACTCAACAATCACAAGGTGGTATGCACCGGTGAGAAAGTACTAAAGTTTTGTGATATGTGTACTAAGGTATTTGACAACTCGAGATCCTTGAACAGCCATAAGAAGGTTCATGCTAGGGAACTAAAATGTGACATTTGTGGAGAACAGCTACGCTCTTTAGAACAATTCAACAGCCACAAAATGATATGTTTAGGTAAAACACAGGAAGCTGGTAGTAGTGGTTCAACAAATGCAGCTACACCTCCATTGAACAGTTGTTGTACCCAGCCAGGGCTGTGCGAGCATGACAAACCAGCCTACCTTAACATACCTAGCTATGCCGCCGGAAGAGTTATTGATGCTACTCTGTCATCTTTAAAATCAGAAATGAACTAGCCGATGTATTACACTTTAAGTTAAAATTATTCTAATTTCGTTTTAACAGATAACCAAATGGTTTAATCAATGACAGTAATAAATTACACGATTGAGAATTTCACAAGACTGATGCAAATATCCCGCCTCACAACTTGCTTTATTATTACCATTTAAATTTAGAGTGTAACTAGTAAGTAATCACAGGTAGAATAAGTTTATACCATTTGAGCATATGTAATTGAAATGTAAATATAAATATTTCCATTGCAAAAATGTTATTGAATATGCTCAAATGGCCGCCCACCTTTTATTTTGTATCATAATATAGTACACCTGTAAGTTTTCCACGGAACAGCTTTACTAATAGATCAGACCAGATTTATATCTTAACTTTTAAAATGACATAACATTATTTATTATTTGAATATAAACAATATATAAAGCCTTGACTGATTTAGAATAATACTATTAGTGTGCAGTATTACATTAAACATTTTTTTATTTTTCTATTTTGGAATGTTGTAAGAGCTATATTTTTTTATAATTTTTAGATCATAGTTATTAAGTTTCACATGTAGTTTGTCATTGGAGGTTGTACATGGAGGGTATACTATTTTTCCAGTGCTCAATGTACACTTTACTCCAAAGACATTTTAATATATAATTTGATATGCATATTAGGCATATTATCTGAATATTTTTAAAGATAAATATTTATGGGAATTTGTTTCTTGATAATGTATTTAGATTTAGGTAAATCTTGTAAAGTGCAATGACTTGGCTTAGCCGCAAAAATGTTGTAATCATAAAAAGTTTTGTTGAGTAATTTGACTCGAAATATTTATTCACAAAGTGGTTTACACTTTTAATAATTATGAAGTTATAGAAAAATTACCTAATTGGTTTCATAAATAGTTATAAAATTTAACAAAAATCGTGTTGTAAACAACTGTTAATGGTTGCATAAGTTGTGACTTAAATTTTTCCTCAAAAGAGATCTGTATTAATAACAAATTTTAGTATACATTCATTATTTTACATTGTATGTATATTTAAATGGTTAAACATTGAAGAGCCTTATCATTACAAATATTTATTTAATAATATTCATGTTCTATTTTGTCAAACATTTTAAAACTATTAATTAATTTTATTAGGACTTTATTCGAAAGAGAGGCTTCTGTTTCGAGGCTTTATATTCATATTTAGTTGTTGCTATTTACAATTGTTTTTTTTTTACATATTGTGTTTATTTTTTATTATAAATCATTAAGTGTAGATGTTATGTTACTGTATATTAATGGCATAAGTACACCTTTAACTTTTGTCTTCTGGTAATACTTTTATGATGAATGATGATCAATGCAATAAAACTGAAAGTATAACCATATAATTGATTCTCAATACTCTTAATTCTGAGAATGGGTACTACAACCGTCAATTACAACCTAGACAATAAGTATTGCGACTACATTATTCTACAGTGCAATGTATTCATAATTTATTTGGACAATGCAATTTTAAAAAATAACTTCCTTGCAATTTAAATGTGACTGTTGTATACCAAATGTCAATCTATTTATATTTTTTTTTTGTTTAAATGTGTTTGTTAACTTACTAAGCAGTGTATAACAGCAATGTTCGAATTTAATATTTTTATTCAGTTCTGGTTTATACAACATCTAGTACAATAGTACAAAATATGGAATTAATACTTAGAGATCTTGTTGTAAGATTACATACATTGGATATGTAACAGAAAACATTTTAATTTTATGTGTAGAATTTAGTGTGGTGTTTAAAATAACTTATGCACCTAGTAAATAAGAAAAAATGTGTTCATATGAATTTAGTTATTACATAGAATATACCTAGCTTTATCTGTATTACATTTGTAGTATAATAGACTGTTAAACAGTGTGATTTCAGCATAACAAGTTGATTATTTTCCACCAAAACTAAAGCAATCTTAGGGTACAATGGATATATAATATTGTAATCTAATAGTATACATCATTATTACTCTAACACTTTATTATTTTTGCAAGAATTGCTACCGTTACCTAAACTAATAAATAGATCTTTTCGTTATGATTATAGCCCTTAAACTATAAAAATGTAATACAATACCACAAATAAATGAAGAAACTGTTGATACTATTTTATTTCTCAAGTAATGTCTATGATGAATTTCATATTATTTAGGTAATTTAAAAAAGAAAGAGAAAAATTTCCTACAAAATATTTATTACCTAGAAATATCATATAACAACTCTTCCTCTTTTAACTGCTCGTTTTACAACTTTAGCTTTCTTTTCCTTCTTCTTTTTAGAAATATTCTCTTTCCTTTTCTTTTGTCTGTCTTCCTTTTTCTTCTCCACACTTTGTATTCTATTTTCCCACTTCTTTTTGCTCACCTTCTTTGTTTGCTCCTGTAAGACCAATGTGCATTGAGTTATAATACATATGTTTGTAACACACAAAGCCAAAAAATGGGATACCCAATGATTTGCCATTATTTTAAGGGGATTAAATCACCACACATTTATTACTGGTGAGAAGTGAAACTTCACAAAAACAGATTTATGACAGTCAAAAGAGTTATGTCTTCTGACGAAATTTTTTTAAACTCAAAAACACCATTAATTGCTCAAAAATAACATATTACACTGTGTTAAGTATGGCTATAATGAAATTATGACAAGTTGGTATTAAAAACAGGAGTAATATTTATGTCAAATTTATAAGTCTTGCTCATTATTATCATCCAGGAGGTGTTTGTAATTGTAAAACTGTTTGTGTATAATTACAAAAGCAAACTCATTGTTTAGGTTACTAGTTAAGGCTTCCCTTATATGTTATTGATGATAAAAGTAAACTTACAATTTTCTTAATAGACTTCTTAAGCAATGTAGGATCATCTTTAACTTTCTCCCCTTCAGCCTTTTGAAGTATATTCTTCCATGCTATTTTTTCTTTTAATTCTTTTGCTTTTTCAGAGTCAACTTCTGCGATATTTTTAATCTTTTCTTCCTGCTGTTTTAAATTATCCAATAGTTTTTTAGGATCCTTGTTACCTTTTGATCCTCTGTCTATAAAAAAATGGTTAAATTCATTAAATGAATGCTAAAAGCAAGCAAATCAACATTATATACAATTTATTAAAAGAAATAGTAACTTATGAATTTTAATACTAAATGATTTAATTCACTATCTCTTACAAAACCAAACTTTTCTTTTAAAATTATAATTCAATTTAGATATCAGAATAGATAATAATTGATCTTATTTAGTTGATTTTTTTTAAATTTAATCAAATCAGACCCTAAAAACTACTGCTTTAAGAATATTCTATTTATCTATAATATTAATATAAATAAGAAAGATATATTTATTTGTTTGTTGGCATTGAATAAGCTCCAAAACTACAGAAGTCATGTGAACAAAACCCTTTACCATTGGAAACCTACTCTTTCCCGGGGGTGGCATAGACTATAGTATAACAAATAAAGTTGTATCGGAACAAACCTCTGTCGCCTAATTTTGCAAAGTCAAACTTAGAAAACACTAGTTTGCCTTCATTGTTGAAAATTGGTTTTGCAGCATTTACATTAGGTTTAACAATATTCTTCTTAGTCTCTGTTGGGTTTTCTGAATCCAATACTGCTTGAACTTTATGTTTGTTAATTTTAACCCTCTCCCGCTTTTTGATTTTGTTTAACTTGCTATTGAGACTTTTTTTCGCTAGTTTGTTTTTCAAATTATAATTATTCTGGGACTTAATCTTTTCTAATCTTTCCTGTAATTCTATAATATTGCTAGCTCTCGCAGGTTGCGGTTTATCATTTTGTTCTGGTTTATCACCAATCATTTCAAAATCCATTTGATCTTCCATATCACCTGAAGAAAGAATAAAAAATATTTCGTTAAATAACATATATTTTCCTAATAAAGACTAAATAATATAACACACACCTTTTTTTTGTAATGGTATAGATAATACGGAGAAAACATTTTTTATAAAATTTAATTCTTTAGTTAGTTCAAGCGCCAATTTATTATTACTTTTCTTTAATTGCTTGATTACTGTCATTGTAAAAAGTAAAAAATTACAGCCTCGGAACTTAAGATTTAACGTAGAACACAATAACAAACAAATTCGAATCAATTATTTTAGGTTAGCGCTGCTTAATAAACATATATACACGTGAGTTAGGTATGCCAAAACTCAAATGTCATAATGAAATTTGAAAGTAAACCCTGGTGGCGGGATTTTTTTATCAGAATCCTACAAATGTAAATCTTCAACATTATGGTTTCAAAGATGATAAAACTTACTTTGTTGGATTGTGGTGTTAAGCGAAATATATTTTTGCAGGAAACAATACATTTTGTCATAATTCTATTTTTTACCAAAACAATAAAAATCTGTAATATTATGTTTAGAACGTAAATTTAGACTATTAAAATTAATAAACATATAACAATCCATTGATCATCTAAATTCTGTATTTAAATGGAAAAATTAATAGAGAAGGTGTAATAATAAAAGTAACCCAATAACCCATTGAACTTTCCCTCATATAGTATATGCACTTTCCACTTCTCATGACAGACTTAGATTTATTAAATAAAATATACTGTAAGTGCCAGAAATAAATACATAGTTAGTCTTTTTGAAACTTTCTTACAAATAATATAAAATATGACAATTGTAATGTTTTAAATATCAAAATGTTACAGACCGACAACTCATTTAATATTTTATAAATAATAAACGTAAGCTTAAAATTTAAGAACAGGATAATTGATCCTGTTTTTAAATTTACAAATACTATTAAATTATTTCTCAAATAAGTTTAATTATTTTAAGCCTCCCAAAAAAGCCATACTCGAAAAATTTTACAGAAAGCTTATAATTTAAAAAGTTCTTATTTAGCGTAAAAAAACGAAAAATATACTTTTATAATGCATAGGAGCTTGAAGTCGTAAATGACAAGTGCAGATTTTAAATCGTCAATTTATCTTTTTACGTTATAACAGTTTACGGTTGACTTTGAAGTTTAAACTTTGACGTTTTCTTATTTCCATGTTTCTAACTTCTAACTTTAGCGTGCTTGATGACATAGTAGTTTGAAATATAGATTTCAAATTTACTACACTTCTTAAAGTATAAGTCATTATGGCCCAGCAAGAAATTTCTTGTGGCCTAGATTATACAATCGCTCCAGATTTACAAGCATGTCTTACTGAAGCATTGCATGCTAATTATGCATTTATTGTATCTCAAATTGTACATCCACGCTTCCGGCTGTCTTCGCTACCTTCAGGCAATACTGTTGGAGGTTTTACTCGGTCAGATATGATATTATCACCTCAAGACTGGAATAGCCGAGTCGTTGGAAGGGTGTCTGGTTATTTAGATCCAGATTCTCCATCACCTATAGTACAAAAACGTCATGAAGACTCTTTGAATGAGGAGCTTGCTTATTGCCGAGGTCTAGGTCTTCCAGCTGTTATGTTATCACTACATTCAAGAAAATCTAATAATTTAGCTAGAATCTTACAAACTTATTTTGAAACGAGGTAAGGAAAATTTTTGTACATTCATATATATTATTTAAAAATTTTCTCATTAAAGATTAATTTCATGAAGATCTTAAAAGTTATATATTACATAATGTTTGTTTTTCTAGCCACCATCCTACACTAATTTGGACAAGTGTGCCTATGGTGTGTCACAGAACAATGAGATCTTGTGATGAAGACAATAGCAATGAAGAAGCCTGGAATGAACCATGGTACTGGTGGACCAAATTTCATGAATGTATGGGTTGGGATAAAAGAATCGGTGTTGTATTAGAAGTATCGGCAGATTTACCCTCAAAAGATGTTATAAACAGATGGCTTGGTGAACCAGTAAAGGCCATTGTATTACCTACCTCACTCTTTCATAACAATAAAAAGGGGTGAGTATAAAACTCCATTAATATTTCAATAAAATGTAAATATTTTTAATTAGAATAATAGGAATACACCAGAAAAGTGGTTTGTCAGAAATAAATTTTCATACATTGGAACTTATCTATTCTATTGAATTAACATTTGTTATAAATATATAATTAGAATGATTTTAATATTTTTTAGTGACGATATAAAATTTTCAAAAAATAGTTACCCTGAACATGAATTACTAAAGAAAAAGTATAAAAATTATTAAGTTTTCCATTTAACTTCAGTTTTGTTGTTCTTGTTACAGTTATCCTGTCTTATCAAGAGCTCATCAACAAGTAGTTGTAAGCATGGTTGAAAGAGATGCTCAAGTTATTGTCAGCGGGGCGAGAAGATCAAATATTGTATATTATTTACAGTATCTCTATAGATTGTGGAAAAGGCGACCTTATGTTGTAGATGATCCTATGCTTAGTTATGCAAGAGGGTAAAAAATTTTGACTGTATTACTTTCATATTTAATTATGATATGTACTCTTTGCAAATTGGCTCTAGAAGTTTTGTTTGTATTTGCTTTTACTCATGCTTTTTATTTTATAGATGCTTGTGTATTGGTCCATCTAAGCCTATTGTTGCATTTTTATTAACTTTGTTGACTTTGTCTTTATTAACTTTGTCAAATTTAGACTCCCTTTTTAACACCAGTAATAAAAAAATATAAGTAATTGTTACTTTTAGCTTCTTACTTAATAACGTATTTAAATAAATGTTTCTTTTTACAGATGGGAAGATTTTTTACAAACTCCTTTGCAACCATTAGCAGATAACTTAGACACGCACACATACAATGTGTTTGAAAAGGATCCAGTAAAATATGATCAATACCAAAAAGCGATAGCCCAAGCTCTGAGTGATCTTCAGATGAAAAGGAAAGAGGATATGAAGGTTTTTATCTCTTTTTACTGACATTTTCAATGTTTAGACTACATTTCATTAAATCTGTATCAGTTTATTTTATTTATTGAAAATTTTTACAAAGACATTTTAGTGTTGAATTTATAAGGCTATTTTTTTCGGACAGATTCAGGAGGAAGACTCTGCAGTTGTAACTAATGTTAAAGAAATCATACCTGGTAAAAATGGTATTGTAGATAATGACAGACCATTTACAGTAATGGTGTTAGGGGCTGGACGAGGTCCTCTTGTGAGGGCAACACTTAATGCTGCTGATATAACTAATTGCAAAGTAAAGGTGAGAAAAAAATACTTATAATACAAGCTTAAGTTAAAATCATTTAAATAATTATTGAACAAATAAAATTTGTTTTTGCAAATGAAGGTGATAGCAGTTGAAAAGAATCCCTGTGCTGTAGTAGTGCTGGCAGCTCAAGTGCGAGAAGTCTGGCGGGATCGAGACGTCACTGTTATACCAGGAGATATGAGGCAAATAAATTTATCTCCTAAGGCTGATATCATAGTTTCAGAACTTCTAGGTAGTTAATATTATATAACATCTAAAATTGTTCCAAAACCCAAATATAAAGTAGTGTAAATATAAATTACTATCTCTTTTGATAGGACACTATCTTTGAAAATAATTAAACTATTTTTACTATTCTTAGGTTCATGGGGAGATAACGAGCTCTCACCGGAATGTTTAGACGGAGCGGCCGGACTTCTCAGACCTGGTGGCATATCAATACCTAGAGAATACAAATCATATGTTGCACCTATATGCTCACCCAGGTTATGGGCGGCAGCCAGAGCTGCTTCTCCAGGAAATGCGCAACAAATAGAAAAAAATCTGGAAACATTATGGGTTGTTTATATGCAAAATAAACATAACATAGCTGAGACAAAGGTTTGATCTCTTAAATCTTACTTATTTGATATCACATAATATTATTTATTCCATTAGTATTCATGTTCAGTAAATGTGAATAACATTCAATGTAATTGCAGCCAGTATTTACATTTGAGCACCCATCAGAAGGAATAAAAAATCAAGATGGGCAAGAAGTCACGGATTATAGAGGATTAAAAGTAACTGACAACCGAAGATCTACAACAGTCACTTGGGAGGTTAAACAAGACAATGTTATGCATGGTTTCGGCGGCTACTTTGATTGTGTTTTATATGGAAAAGAGATGCTCAGTATTGTGCCTGATACTCATAGCCCAGGGATGATATCATGGTTTCCAGTCTTCATTCCTATTAGGGTATGCTATTAATTTCTTAAATATTATGTGAAGAAATACAATATCGAATGTTTAAATTACACATAGACATATATTTGAATTGTAAATTAGATCTGAACTACAGTAATGAACTAATTTCACAGACTATTTTTCATTCTTTTATTGCTAATGTTTTACATACTTAAATAAAATAATCTGTACACTTTTTTTACAGACGCCCTTAAGAGTACAAAAAGGTGATACAATAAGTGCCACATTTTGGAGATGTGTCAATTCCAGAAGAGTGTGGTATGAGTGGATTGTTGAAGTTAACAATCACACAACTCCTTTGCATAATCCTAATGGTCGAAGTTCAGAGATGTTACTTTGATCAATACAAACACATGCTGCCTTAAAAAGAAATATATACAGATATATTTTTATTGAAATTCTTTTTTATTATTACCTAACCATTACTTTTCTATTTGTTACTAGTACTTCAAAGGTGTATGTTATTATTTATCTCATGAGTGTTAAATACTAAATAAGAAACAAGTAATAAAATATGACTTCATGCAAATTAATGAAAAGGAAAGAAGACACTAAAGTTATTAACAGTAATAAATTATTTATTTAACAAATACTACACATACAATACATCTTTAGTTAACATTAAGTTTAACTATATTCATTTCTCTATGAAAATCATCAATATTTTGATCCCATCTCTTTTCAAAATAGATACCTGAAATTTCAACCATAATATACATCAAGAAAGTTAAAAACAACAAAATGTAACAATATTATTTGATCAGGAATTACCTTGTAAAAACTGGGCATTTTTTCCAGTTCTAATAGCCCAAGGTAAATAATGATTAAGGTACAATTGTCTATGCTTTGGTTTCAATCTAGCAGCACCCCAGATACCACCTCCGATGCACATTGGTAATTTTGTTTGTATTCCTTCTACCCATTTCACAGTTACCTTTAAAATTTATTATTGTTAAGACTAGAGTTAGTTCTCAGCACTGATTAGACATGACTTTCAAATATTGAAGTTCTATATTTGATAAAAATTCCAAAATTTTACTATTTATCAATATAAGGAATTGATGTTCCTTTCCTTTATAAAAAGAATTTGTAAATAGCTCATTATCTTCAAAGTTCCTAGAGAATATATATACATAAATAAATGGTTGGGGATTGTTTGTTGATGGGTTTTAGCAATTTAAGTAAAATTTGAATTCAGTATTTAAAATGCTTTAAGAGATTTCTTTAACAAAGCAAAATAAAATAATTTTATACTATTTAACATATATAGTTGTTTACAATGACTTACTTCCCCAAGCATAGTAGTCTTCATAAATAATACTGAATGAACAAGGTCATGAACTTCTCTATAACGTTGCATAACATAAGCCAAATCAGGATCAGCAATAAATTGTACTGGTAATCTTGAATCCGCTGTTATTTTATTGTCAATCATAAAATCATGGTATACCCTACCGAGAGTGTTTTTGGGCATTTCAGAAAGTGTTTTGAAACAAACAGTCTTAGAGTTAATTCGTGGCTGATCGTTAAGTATTTCGGCCCCTTCATTCGTTTCGAGCATTTTATTTCGCATATTAACTAATGCTGCAGTACCAGTCACTTCTCCTAAGCAAGCTATCATATCGCCTCTGTGTGGATCTAAAAGTGCTACTGATGCCGAACCAATTGTTAATAATGTTTTTTGGAATAAGTTCGTTGGTATAAAATTTTTCTGCATTTCATCTTTAAAAGGGGCTGCAGCAAAAGTACTTTGAAGTCTTCTCAAATATATTCGCATTTTATTTAGTTGACCTTTTCAATTATTAAATAACTTATAACACTTAACTAAATAATAACATTAAAAAATATTTTAAAGATAAATATGTCACTTGGCAAATGTCAAAAATGTCATTTAAAGTGTGCTTGCACCCTACATTAATAAAAATAATTTTAGAATGTCAAAAAATAAAAATATAATTAAAAAGTTTTAAATGTAAAGAAATGATAATTATTGATTTAAATATATACATTGTGGCAAAATTAACACTAAGACCCAATTTACTACTTTTGCTGTAAGAATTTCTTCCGCAAGTATAATACATATATATCGTTTTTACTTATCAATCTAGTCTGTTACCTTATATAAACTCCCCAAATATTAAACTCTTTTTTTTTTTTTTTTTTTTTTTTTTTTTTTTTGTTATCGCGGTGAAAGGTTTTATACCTACCCCTCCGTCTAGGGGAGACAGAGGCGGTTATGTGGGATTCACGGCCAGAAGGGCCCATGTTACCCACTAAAACACCAGCGGTCACTCTCCGTTGCCGCCAAGTGGATCGCCACGGGAAACGCCGAAGCATGCATCCGCGACGATCCGGCGGCGGGCCGCGAACGGCCACCTCCCCCCCCGAGGGCTCACTCCAAGTGACCAGGAGTGTCCCCCCGCCTGGCGGGCTTGCTTAATCGCGAGAGGGTTAACCCCTTACCCCTCCCACCCAAGCCCACGCGGCCAGTCCCCAACCACCTACCGACGAGCGCAAGCGCCCGACGGCAGACAGACAGGAAACCGACCGACCACAAGCGAACTCAGGCCTCCGGAGAGACCCGAGTATCCCCTCCCCCCAAGACAGCCACGGACGGCCTCCTGCCAGATCCGTGACCGTCTTACTCCCAGGGCTGTACCCCCAGCCCTCCCCCCCGTGACTGATTGCACCGGAATACACCAGTGGGCGATGGGGTCGTCACGTCCCGACGCCGGAAAATATTAAACTCTACACTAATTAGATTCAGTGACCACTTTATCTGGAAAAAGGCATGAAGGCCTTTTCCAAATGACTATGCTAAACTCCTTTACTCTCTGTAGGATCTTCTCCCCGTCAACATTCCTTATTCTTGACATACTGAATGGTACCAATGAAATGTGTTCAGTTCATTTTGTAAATTCATATGTAAATATAATATTTAAATCAATAGAATGAAGTTGTAATAAATTCCTAAACTTTATATGTATATATAAGTAGTATACGTTTAACATTTTTCTATTTTACATATCACCTATGTTGGTGTTAATAGTATTTGTGTTATTTTACATACTAACAACTTTTTTCAATATATGTAACTCAATCGAAACTGTAAAATTTTATTCTATCAACAAAGTACAAGTCAATCCCCGTTTGTGTAAATTCCTTTCCAGGCGAGTTTGCGAGAATTTTTTTGTCCGGATGAAGAACATTTTAAAACTCAAAAATATTGTCTTTCAGTTTAAAAATTATTGAAAGTCGCACCATTCAAACTCAAGAATACAAAAGCATATCGGCTCATTCTAATTTCGGCAAAAACAAAACTAATATAACTGATTTAGTTTCAGTTGTAATTAAATTTAACTAAGGATTAACAGTTTGATTTTTTTCCTTATTTAATTAAAGTTAAGGAATATAAAATAATATTAACTTTTATTAAAAGAAATAAATAATAATTTATTAGATTTCTTGCTAGTTTTACTTTGTTGGTAAAAACAATTGTTTTTTATCAATAGAGACAGTATAGCTATCAATTTCGCTATTTATATTTAAATACGATAATATAAATCATATTAAGTTTGTTGTTATTTTTAGTGATGCGAAAAAATAAATTTAAAAAAACTATCTTCATCTTATTACAAATGTTAAGTAATTTTGTACAAGCACAGGTTATATATAAGATATTAACTATTCTCTGCCTTGATATCCGTCAAAAGGAGTTAGAGCAAAATAGACAATATTTACAAAATTACAATTTAACCGATATTTACTCTTGTTTACATTATATTACTTACAGACATCCAATTGCTTTAATTTGTAATATAGGTATCATTGCATATTCAAGGATATTAGAACTTATGAATGATTAGAAACTGACGCGGATATTTTATTAAAATAAAATGGCAAAAGTTACGGAAGAAACAAATCCGTTACTTATTTACCCCGAAACCTGCCAAAGATTTTTTAGAAATAGTGTAGGTCGTCCTAAAAAGAGTAATGAAATTAATTTCAGTCCAGAACCGAAATCGATTGTTGCTGTATTTTTAAGTAAAGAAAAAAATGATATAAACAAAAATAATACAAAACAGTTGACTGTTACAAAAAAACAAAAAACGTGGACTTGTCGTCACTGTATGAAGAGGTAAACATACGTGATAAAATTATGGATGTAGAAGTTTAAAATTATTTTGTCCTTAAAAACTCATCACTCGTGTGTATTTTTTATTGCAGTCGATATTTTTTTTTAATTCGTAATCAGAAAAAATTATAAAATCTGAATAAGTGAAACTTATTATTAGAGCTCTTTTAACGCTATCCTCTCTTTTTCAGAGTGTTTCACAGCAAATCTGAGTTTAAGAAACACATAGCAAAGCATAATCATATTTTCAAGTGTGATGTGGGAAATTGTTCTTACAGTACAAAATTCCCTTCAAACCTTAAAAGTCATGAAAGAATTCATCTCTCTGATCAACCATATTTTTGTGATGAATGTACATTTAGAACAAAATTTATAAGTTCTTTAAAAACACATAAAAGGCTTCATAGGAATGAAAGACCATTTCAGTGTCAGTTTTGTGAATATAAATGCAATAGCTGTTCTAATTTAAAAAAACATTGTACTCGTATTCATGAAAACAAAACCAATGACAAACTTAATAATTTTTCTGAATCAAGGTAAAAAATACAAAACTCTTTTATTTCAAAGCATTTTATATTTTAACTAATATACTAAAACTTACAAAATATACAACTGGTATAAATATATTGGTACCCAAGAAGGCTGTCTTAATATAAAATGATAAATTATACCACCACAGTATACATAACCATATTTATTGGCAAGGTTGTATAATTATCTATAATAATACTATGTAGGTGTTCATAATAATTCAATATTTGTCAGTGACAGTGTTCAGTAAAGTCGACAACTACTGATTCACGCCAGCCAAAGAGGAAGTAACCACATGCAGATCCAAGAACGACGGCAGCACACAACCAAGTATTATATGTCATAAACACCAACATTAACATGTAGCTTACTAGGACTTGGAAACCATGAAGCACCGTCTGCCATCCATGCGCTGCACTTAACATTGTAGGACTGTAATAATTAATTAAATCAGTATATATTCATAATTTACATAAACAAGATAAATAAAGATATAGATGAGAAAAAATTTCACTTACATATTTCTTTCAAGCGCATGGGGCATTGGCCTGCAATGTGAAATAAAGTGATTACATGCCAAATACAAAAAGGTATAACTATTATCGTATTATCTTAGAAAAAAATAAATTATAACTACCATATTATATGTTGTGTTATTTTACTTATCACCATTAAAAATTATATATGAAAATTTGGAGGCAGTATGTGGTGAAATCAAAGTTATTATTAAATATAAATTATATTAAATTTGTGATTTTTAATAAGTTTCTGGTCTCTACAACTTAGTTTATAGTAACTCACTGTATAACTTGGGGTTCATCAGCACATATATTAGCCACACCTTTATCAGGTGGCGATACAGCGCAATACTGAAGACCCGTATATGTTTTCCATAATAAATGTTTTCTGTAGTATTTCAATCTACAAAAAATTGAAAAAAATACATAATGATACATTTTTAATACCAATATATATAAATACAAAATTTATAATAAATTATATATACCCCTCATACAGAAGTGCCAGAATAAAAATAGCTAGAAAGGAACCAATAAATTCGCCTATCTCTGTAACATTCCACCATGAGAAAAGTATTGTCTCCTTATATCCTCCATGAAACTATAACAAACAATGTATCATAAATTTATGGTAATAATAATATGTCGTCATAGTGCAAATCCACTTATAATTCTGCATACCTACATTGGAAACAGATTATCAGAAGAAAGTTTAAGCTGAAACATTTTCTAAATTAATGACTTTTAAGGTAATTTGTTCACAACTAATATTAAATTAAACACTAAATAATTACTAATTAAGAAAAAATCACCTTAAAATTCATTGATATAGAAAATATTACAGACGATATATTAAAAGTTTGAACTTACAGTCATAGACATCATGCTGTGCATAGTATGGTGATGACCACTTCTCGGTGCACTCGGTGTGCCAAAATTAATACTGTTGAGATCTTCACTTGAGTTAAACATTCCCTGTAAAGGATTGATAGTATATATTAGTTTTACTACTGAGTGAACCAATTGGTTATATGAGGATGAACAAGTTTACTTATACATATTTAAAAATATTTTCTTTCACTGGTAATGAGATTTGTTCTCATTGGTTTTCGAACATCAAGAAATACATATTCTTATAAGAGAAATTAATTCAGAGGTTTTAATTTTTTTAGTGGAGTGAGTTATTTGCAACATGTATAAAATCTATTTGCACCATATATTGTTCAGTAGTAGTTGCTTTGCAGTACAAACTTGACATTATTACATAATAATAACAGTTAAAATGTAGGGCAAACTGTGAATGTGACCTTGTTTACATATAAATGTGGAATGTGAGAAAATATTGTATGGCATAACTTTTCAACTACACTTATAACTTTGCACACTATTGATAATTTTATCAACTAATTATCTACCACCAATACATTATTTTATTATTGTTTATTATATTCACAGTGATTAAATGAAATGAGATAACCAAATTTACAATACATTACATAAAAATCATACAAGTACATATAATATTTATCACAATAAAAATTTGAATATATGAAACATTTACTTAAAACAACTTAGCTAGAAGTTAATAAATAATGAAACTCATAAACTTTTATTGCATAAAAACTATAAATAACAGAACCGCAACACTTTAAACTTAAAGTACAGAAAGATAATGATAATATATGCATATGACTTACACCAACATCTTCATATATATGTGAACTGTTCATGCCTATATGATCAGCTTGCATCATATTATCCATATTATGAACCGGCTCCATGTGATGATGTCCATGATCCATATGGTTATGTCCCTCCATCACTATGATATATAACAAATTTAATTAACAGCTACACCAACCACTCCAATACATAAATAAAAGTCACATGTTTAAAAACCTATACATCCAAACACTTGAAATCAAATGGAAGTTTATTAAACAACATACGAAAACCAAAACAAATCTCAGGAAACTGTTCAAGTGTTTTAATCACTTACAACATAAAACAATATATATTTTTATAATGATTTGATCATAATTTCTATAGTGGTTTTAAAATTAACTATTGCTCAATAATTTATTTTTTAATTAAACATAACTCGATACGATATTTTCACTTGCCACTAAGCATAGTGCATGATGATGATGTATATAAAATGAATATACCTTACAATGTTTAAAGTTCAAATAGCAATGGTAACAATTGTAACCCGTTTTTATCTGAACTACATTAGTTACATTTATACCTTTCAAATTTTAAACGCAAGCACTTTCACTTTTTTCTTTCGAGGTTTCTTAGGTACTTATTTGTGAGTATCTGTAGCATGTATTAGACCAATTGAAGTCAGAACAGTTTACATAATGTCTGTGCTAAACACTTACAAATTATTTAATGTTTATATAGATATGTCATATAGAGAGTTCGCTTTAAGAACAAATTAATTGGTTCAATAATGAAGTTTTCTTTGTTTAAAATGTTATAATGCATGCGAACAAATTAAACTTTTTTGCAGTTTGTGAATTTGTCATATTAGTCAATTTTATGACAGTCGAGGTTGATGTGTTGCTAATTGTAAGTTATAGTTTTATAAAACAGGATTAATGTTGCTACTTAGAAAACATAAAAAATGTGTGCTCATCTTTAAAAAATATAATCAATAAATTCTGTATAATTATGTATTAAAAATAAGTATTATGAAAGAATAACCTATTGGGAATGTTACGTACAAAGGAAAAGAATAAAAAAATAAACCTATATCGATGAATTGAAAATTTTAAAAATTATTACGACAAATATCTTAATCATATCAACTATTTGATATTTCATAAAAAAAACATTTAGAAATATTGAAAAAATATATAAATATTATTATGTTGAATTATTATGGAAAGTTCATTTAACTAAAAACTTTTTTTTAACTTCAAGTATATAATAACTTTTTCTTAAAATCTTATGCCAGGAATATCTAAATAAATGATGATTATGATCTATCTATAATACTATAATGATTCGCTCCGATTATTCAAAAAGTTCAAACCTCGTTTTACATTGTCGGTTATTTTTCGTGTCATTTCATAGGTATTGCCTTGGATCCTTATAGATATTAGATCCTTATAGATATTAGATTATTAATTAAGAATGCAAATAACTACATTATTTCTTAAGTAAATGCTTTATATAAAATGCTTTATTCATAAATTTGTAACGGTGCATTTAAAAATATACTTAATATTAGAATATTTAAGCATTTTTACAACTATGTAGGCATTTTACTTTTATTCTATACTTTAATTCCGAATTTTTTTTTATTATTTATTTGAAAATATGTTATGGCAGCACTCCTTTAAGTTCATATTATTAATATTTTACAAGCCATCATAGAGGGCGCTACTGTGCCCCATTAAGAAATGGCTGCGAACTGATTTTATTTTCGTAGTGCATTCTATTGAATCCTATGAATACTATGAAACTATATGTCATCGCCTAAAAAAAATTCAAAATATTTATGTTTTACACGTTTTTCTATCCCTTTTTTATATTATTTTAATTTCCAGAATGAAACAGTGTTAAATGAATTTTAGGTATGATTAAAGACGCTCGTCACTCGCTTCATGCTTGGCGGCCATGTCTGAAGCTCGCTTGGACCTTTGAGAGTTCGTGTTGTGCTATTCTTTGTTGTATAAAAAAGACAGTGGTTTTTGTATCTAGTAGACAATGAATTTGAAACGATATAAATGACTATGAACTTTTTAAAATGTGGAGTGTTTGATGTAGTTAAGCAAATCGATAGAAATTGTTTTTGCAGAAGTTACTCCAACATCGTATTTTTAGTTCATCCGCCATATTGGCGTTAATATATCTTCGTAAGTCTTTTTCAGTAATTATTTAGCTTATATCGATATTATATTCTTTTGATTATGTTAATTTGCTAGTGTTTTTTATGATCTATGTTATGTATAAAAGTAGAGTTTGCATGATGCGAGCATTAGGCAATATTTCACCATTTTTGGTTTGGCCTCTGTGAGTGGTTTTCACCCATTTAGTTTTTGTAAGATTTTTAATATTATTAATTTAAATTGTAGTCCAATTCATGTAAAAAATAATTATGCTATTTGATTCTCGTTGATCAATATAATTAGTGGTGGCTGAACTAGTAATGGATTTGATTTTGTGATTCAATCTACCAATGTACGATGTAATACTTCAATAGATATTTTATTAATAAGTATGTTCATTTTAGTTATATTAAAATACATTTTTCCTCTGAAGTGACAAATTTTTATTAAATGTTTTCCCTCCACCCTAAAATCAAATAAAATTTTCATGTAGGATCAAAGAATATTCTAGATCATGAGGATACATCCTCCATTCTCTTTAAGACCTCTCAAGAAACAGCAAGCCTTTACATGCTTGTTAGTAATCAAGTGCTGTTAGTTTGTTGTGATAGTAAAACAATACTAGTAAATATATATGTTAATGAAAAGGGGCATCTTATGCTTATAAATATACATTTCATTATATGCATGTAAATTTTTGTTAATTTGTGGTGAATGGTGCATGGGTTTAATGAAGTTTTTATTTTCCCTCTAACACAATGGCACTTAATGAAAAGTGATAGTTAATGCTTAATCAAAATCATTATTTTTATATATTTTATGTTGCTGTTTCTGGTCCTTTGCCCAATTTAATATTGTTGTTGTGAAAGTTATAACAGATATAGCTTTAATTTCAATAAAATTGTTATTAATTCTGTGAACTTCAGTGTTTATTTATGTACATTAATCTAAAATAAACATAATTATTGCACAGACAATCTTATAAAAGATCATTGACTTTGTTGCCTCTGTGAAAATGTTAAATAATTATATTAGATGATTCACCGATGAAGTATTGAAAAAAAAATCAGTTCTTTTTTCTAAAGTGTCTTACTCTCAGGTGGTAGTTATGACATTATATTTTTATAGATGTATATTTATTTTTGTTTTGTCATCATTTGACAGTTATAATAAAATAGGTATTTTCTTTTCAGTTGTAAAGCTCTAGTTGGTGGGGCAAGTGCTACATCAACGTGTTTGCACTGTCAGTACTTGCATCCACACAAATAAGGCAAGGTAAAAAAAGTAAACATCCACTCTATATATTTTTTATAATCTCAATGAAAGTTTCTGTCATTGATTGTTTCTACAGGTCTTAAAATTAGTTAAATGAATATAATGAAGTACATCTAGGTGCAAATGCACCATATTTATTATGATAGAAAGGTTATATGTGATAAGAGGATTTAGCTGATGCCTCTTAGCCAGAAATTGGATGAGCCTCTTGTTACAATTGAGGTGAGTATTTTGTTCTGTGTTTGTTGAAACTGGATTGACATAAAATTGTGTTTTCATCAGTAACTATAGTGTTTGTATGGTTGGCAGGTAGATCGCAGACTCCAGCACAATGCAGCAGGCAGTCGATCCACTTGCTACAACAAGCACTGTAAGTATTTGTGTGATATTAAGAGTATAGTCCAGTCATCTACTAAATGTATAGCAATAAAACATTTTTTAAATTACATAACATTGCATATACAATTAGTTTTATACATATATACTTTTAGCCGATGTCGGAACCCGTCAATGGGGCGTCCTCGGAGGAGGCTCCTCGTCGACAGGGTCGTATGACGAACCAGCTGCAGTTCCTACAGAAGAATGTGATAAAGGCAGTGTGGAAACATAAATTTGCGTGGCCTTTCCATCAACCAGTAGACGCAAAGAAATTAAACCTACCTGTAAGTTCACAAATACAGATGAATATTTCCTTTTGTATTGCTCAAAGGACTATTAAGGAGTTAGCCTGAGTTTCATTTAAAACATATTACAGTAAGAATATTATTGTTTTAATGTAGTCTAATTCTTTTTTAGGACTATCACAAAATCATCAAAAAGCCTATGGATTTAGGCACCATAAAAAAGCGTTTAGAGTCAAACTACTACTACTCAGCTCAAGAATGCATACAGGATTTCAATACCATGTTCACAAATTGTTATGTTTACAACAAACCTGGAGAGGATGTAGTGGTGATGGCACAAACATTAGAAAAATTATTTTTAAATCGGGTAAGTAATAAAACTATATACTTTACATAAAAAAATGTTGTCCTGTTTAATGTATGGGAATGGTAACAAAATGTATTGAAAGTTCCTTATAGAAATAAATACACTTTTGTATATTTCTATTACTTTATTAGGATTAAGTTACGGTTTTGGATGAAGAAATAGTGTTTAAATTTCCTATATTCATTAATAGATAGCGCAAATGGACAAGGAGGAGAAGGAGATCGAGATGCCATCAAACAGTGGGAAGAGTGGTGTAAAGAAGCGAGTGGGTGGTTCAAGTGTAGGCGGACCTCCGATGGCGGGAACGGGTTCAATGCCCGCTTCACCGGCTCTCACTTCTCGTGCAGCCGTTAAACCGCTGCCGCCGGCGCCGCACCCCAACTTTGTGGGTTCTACAAACACAACAACCACCCCAACACTAACAGCGCCTTCAGTCACACCACCCGCCACACACACCGGGTTGCCACAGCAGGTAAAAATGCATAAGGATTAGTTGAATATATCATATGCATAAATATAATTTTGTTTTATAATTTTAATCCTTAATTATTATATGTATATAATTGAAAATGGCTCTTATTGAATCATAGTGTCTTGCTTTTTGATATTTGTCATATAACAAATAGTGAAAAAACGTCAGTTGACTTAGTGTTAATGGATCATCAATTGATATTAAAACTTTGGTTGATTGTTATACTAAACTATGTTTTCTAGGTTGCAACTCAACCTTCTAATTTCCACGTAACACAAGCAGCCGCTCCTCCGGTATCAACGCTTCCTGCTGTGGCATTGTCACAGACTCAGCCCGCTAAGGTCAGTAGCCATATAATAGTAATATATTATGCGAAATTAACTTGAGAATTAAGGTTTTTAATATAATTTACCGTATTTGTAGGTTAAAAAAGGGGTTAAAAGAAAAGCTGACACTACGACTCCTATGGGTAGTTCTTTTGAAGGAGGTTATACAACCCCTACGATCGACCAACAAGGTGGCCCTAAACCAGCTAAAATATCAACAAGAAGAGAAAGCGGCAGACAGAAAAAGGTTTTTTTAGCTAGTCTTGGCTAAATTTAGTGTTAACATTTTAACCATATTATGTATATAATATGTAGGTCATACTTTCACTTCTTTAAACAACTTATGGATATGATACAATTATTAATGAGCTTAGAAAGATCTTAAAATAGTTCTGTATTACAAAAAGTCTAAATTAAACTGGTTTATAGTAAATATAAATTCATAATATTTAAGTTTAATCTATAGATTTTTTTCGAGACTTTACTCTGGTATCAAGGGTACAGTCGAAATGTTGTGGAACTAATTTTTTAAAATTGGAATCCAATTTTACTAATGTGCTATGTAGAAACAATATTAGATAGAATTAGCAAAAAGTGGCACGTTTTGCTGGCTCCCTTCATGTACCTGAGCTATGGTATGCTATACTATAGGATGTAATTACATTATTTAAAAACACATGGACAAAAATCCATTGTTTAGGACCGTTACGGTGTTTTATAGAATACAAACAATCATAATCTGATAAGATTTTATTAAAAATATGTTATGTTGCCCTCTTTTTTCAGTCTATAATAACAGGATGTCTACAGGACTGTTTTGTTGAAAATAGAATGAACAAAATTGGAAAAAAGAAGTTTGTAACGTATACAAAAGTAGAGTTAAAATGTGAATTTGTTTTATAAAGAGTGCGTGTTTTAGCCCGGACGAGTGGGAGACGATGGGTTCAAGATGGGCGGTCTGTCGCCTGGCGTGGGCGGTGCGGGAGCGTCACACCACGCTGCGCTCACTCCACAGGCCGCCAAGAACAAAGAAAAACTCTCCGACGCGCTCAAGAGTTGTAACGAGATACTTAAAGAACTTTTCTCAAAGAAACATTCGGTAAGACCAACGTTTATTAACTTTAAAGAATAACTTATTTATGTTTTATATTAAAATACAGAGTATCCTTCCATACGTGTGGTCTAATTACACTGTTTTTACAGGGTTATGCATGGCCGTTTTATAAACCTGTGGATGCGGAATTACTAGGTCTGCATGATTATTTTGATATTATCAAGAAGCCTATGGACCTGGGGACAGTGAAACATAATATGGATCATAGAGCTTATAAAACGGCTGCCGAGTTTGCAGCAGATGTCCGCTTAATATTTACTAATTGTTATAAGTATAATCCTCCCGATCACGATGTCGTAGCGATGGCTCGGAAATTGCAGGACGTTTTCGAAATGAGGTGAGGAATATAAATTACTATTAATATGAAATCTGTATTATATTTAGTAACAACTATACATACTACAAATTGTTAAAGAAAAAATTTGCTAAACATAAGCAAATTAAGATTAGAAGTTATATTTCTTAGTTTGTACAGGCAATTATTTTTAAATTTTAAGATATGCTAAGATTCCTGATGAACCAAGTCACGTCCATGTCGGAGTTCCACATATGGACAAAGGAAGTTCCGCTTCTAGTTCCGAATCAGGCTCGGAATCTGACTCTGAATCAGATGACTCAGAGGAGGAAAGAAACAACAAGGTTAAAATATTAGAAAAAGAGCTCCTGGCGCTGCAGGAAAAAATGAGGAAGCTGGTCGAGGAATCAAATAATAAGAAGAAGGCGAAAAAGAAAATGAAAGAGAAACAGAAAAAACAAATTACAAATAATGCAATTCCCAAAACGAATGCTGTGGCAGCTTCCGGGTACAACGCTAAAACGAATAACATCGCTGAAAATCTTGGTAAGTTACAATATCATCCAATAACATGTTGAAATCAATAATGTTTCTATTTAAATAATCATTTTTAATTTTTTATAAGTACATAGTATACTGTAAGTATTTTTGTCGCCATATCATGTCGAATGATATAATAAAAATTTTAAGGTCTAATTCTGTAATAAAGTACTAGCTTTCCGCCCGCAGCTTCGCCCGCGTGGAGATCGGTTATATTGCGTTTCCAAGAGAACTTTTCAAAAGTCTGGGATAAAAACTATCCTATGTTCTTTCTCAAGGTCAACTCTATCTGTACCAAATTTTATTAAAATCAGTTCAGTAGTTTATTCGTGAAAGCGTAACAGACAGACAGACAGAGTGACTTTCGCATTTATTTATATAGTGAGAGAGCCGGTTGCCCTTTTCCTGTTCCCACCCTTTCCTACAATTTCCTTGTCCTACCCCTCCCTTTTCCATAACAACTAAGGTCGGCAAAGCATCCGCAACATCTATGTTGCAGATGTCCATGGGCGACGGTGACTCCTGCCCATCAAGGAGGCCGTCAGCTCGTTTGCAACCTTTCACATAAAAAAAAAATAATAATAACATTAGTAGGGATGTACAAATGTTCTAAATTATATATTTATCAATAGCGACGAGCGTTCGAGGCAAGACGGGCAGTAAACGTGGCGCGGGCGCCAATGCAGCTGGTGCGGCTGCCGTCACAGGGCAGGCCAAGGCCGCGGCTCGTGCTCCCGCCAAGAAGAAGAGCTCCACCCCTACCGCCGCGCCCCCCCACCACGCGCCTCCCCACCACCAGGACCCGGATACGGACGACGAGGACAACGCCAAGCCCATGTCCTACGACGAGAAGAGACAGCTCTCGCTCGACATCAATAAGCTGCCCGGTATATAACACAGACATGTTCATCCATTTATTAATGAAACTACATTCTCTATTATATAAGCATTATTAGTATTTCTCAATATATTGCAATATATTCATGGCACTACTCGCGTTGCTGTGTCATTGATGATTAATCATACTAGAATTGTGATTTTTTTTCTTCTAACTAATAAAAATATTATATAAAACATACAATACTGACTGAGTCGTAAATGTATAGCATATTTTTTTTCTTCAACAAATAAAAATATTATATAAAAACATACAATACTGACTGACTTTTAAATATATAGCGTTATGTTTTTTGTGTTTACTACATTAGTAAGATGATTGTACATTTATATATTTTTTTATTTTATTGCCTATCAGATTTCATTGTTTTTTTCTTTAAATAGGTGACAAACTCGGCAAAGTAGTCCACATCATCCAAAACAGAGAACCTTCGTTAAGGGACTCTAATCCGGATGAAATTGAAATTGATTTCGAGACGTTGAAGCCATCCACCCTTAGACAGTTAGAGAGCTATGTCGCGTCATGTCTTCGGAAGAAAACTCGTAAGTTTAATTCAATAATATTCACACGTAGGTTAATGATTCTGATACAATTTATATACTATGAGTTTTTCTAAAATTGATGAAGATCTTTCTTACTTACAAAAAAATCATTTATAATTGTCATAAAATAAGAGTTTCTATTAACCATTAAATGATTGTTAACGTTACAGATCGAAAGGTATCTGGCAAATCTAAAGATGAACAAATGGCGGAAAAGAAACAAGAGTTAGAAAAACGGTTGCAGGATGTGTCAGGACAGTTAGGAACCAATAAGAAACAGCAACCTAAAAAAGGTATTGATATATGACTAATTACTAAATTGGCTGGTAAATAAACATAACGAAAATATATGACCTATTTCATATGTTAATTGTAGTGCATATTCAACTCACTTTAAAGTACGCACTTTTATAAAGTATGAAAACTCGTCGTAGTCGTCGTAATAAGCGTCGTATTTTTTCAGAGGGGTGCAAGGACGGCCTCGGCGGCGGCATGTCGTCGTCGTCCAGTTCGTCGGACTCGTCCAACTCGTCGTCCAGCACCGACACCAGTTCGTCGGACAGCAGCGACAGCGAAGCAGGTTAGAACTAGCGCAACTCGCCACTATCGTACCCGACTGTACATTACGATTTAGTCTTAGATATTAATGTTACTTGCATTTAATTAAGAGAGATCTTCACGTTATGAGAACACTATCAAATGCTCGAGATCTATATATAGTTTTAGGTTAAAAGCGATTGTTCATATCTGAGGATTGATTCTGAGAGGTTTTTACCTTTGCCAGTATTTTTTTTTAAAGTATGACTGTTCGCGATATTTTTTACGAGGGATGGAATAATACAATTTTAAAATATTTTATTCTAGTCTGAAAACGTCAGTGACAGAATGAATGGCTTTGTGAGACCCGGAGAAACGCTATTTTTCAATCGAATGATTGTTGTGTACTTTGTAAGAGAGTAGTTTTTTTACAAAATCTTCTTCATAATGAGAGTTTCTTTTACTTCCAAGGAAATGGATAATAATATACATATATATTTTTTATTTATTGACATTTCACATCTCAACTGATTAGGATTGATTAGAAATATTATTCAGTGGTTGTTTGTAATCCCGGTATGAGAGGGATACGTTTATATGAATTTGAGAGTAGAAGAAAGACAAGAAAGGTAGAAGAATGTGTAAGATGCAAATTTTCAGAGTTAGTTTAATGTTTTGGTAGTCCCCTGTTACGTTTGTCCAATGGATAGAAGTGCAGGCAATTCCACCTCGCAATATTTTTTTACTTTCACTTTAGTACTTACTTTGTCTAAAGTATGTGGAGTTTAGTTGTGTGCATGACTAGCGTGCGTGTGTTGTGTGAAGTAGTTCTGTATGATTTATATTACTGTGATATTGGAAAGAGGGATACCGCCCTTTTCGTACGATCAGACAGTCATTGAGATCCAAAATTTGCTGAGCATAATAAGAAATGTTGGTAAAGGCACAAAACAGTTAGTCATTAGTAAGGAGGGGAAGCCAGCTTTGGTGTTCGCTGACACAAGTAACTGGTGCCGGTAAGAGATTTTTTATTTGGTTTGCTCTCATAAACCAATAGGAAATACCTTTTCACATTAATATTTTTAACTATATCATGTCCTAAAGTGAGACGTTATTTCATTTGCATCTTTAAAATATTGTTTTTCGGTCCGGTAGTAATCGACAACTTCAGATCTCACGGTTACTAATCGCTTTAGAGTGTTGAATCGCCGATTATAAATGTTTATTGCGGAGAGGGAGCTGCGGCACGAGGATCCACGGCTGCGGACACGTTACGCTTTTGCAAACAATTGTGTGAGGACGGATACCACGTAGCAAGCAAAATTAACACGCTCACGCCCACCATGAACGAACTAGTGACATGTTGTAGTTAAAAATATAATTCACTGAAAAGGTATGGACATTGGTTGAATGCTTCGTATACGATGCTTGCTCTCGAACTACCATGTGACATGCGACCGAAGTTACTCGACGAGCTGCACCCAAAGCTGGCCTCCTTCCTTCCACAAATTGTTTGCAAAATGTATACTGTTATAAAATTGTTCACGGTTCAGATAGATGTTACTGTTATTTAAATTAAGAAGAACATACATAGACTTGTATCTTTTATAGTTGTTTTGTAAAATATTTTTTGGCAGCTGGATATTACTGTAATTATATTTTTTTTTCAATAATTTTTAGTAGTAACAAACCACGTAAATCTAATTTGTGTCAAGTTCAATAAAACGTGGTAGAAAAATGGTGCAATAATATAAAATGGCGTGTTTACCGACGGATGCTTCTCAGGCAATACGCTTTATATAAAAATAAACCAAACCATCTGTCAATATTTGAAGATAAATTTCATACTTAGTTGAAGTAGTCCAGTCAATAACAGATTCAAATATTAATTAATCACAGTTATGAACAAAATATGAAAACACATTAGCGTGGCTCACAGGTACTGCATTAGAAATGTCATCTATTTGAAATAGAGATATGTTTAAGTAAGCAACGATTTTTAGGTTATAGTAAAGAATCATCATGACTGCGACTGGAATAATATAAAATACTATTATTATATACTTTAATAATAATTTAATTAGTTTAATTGATAAAACAATATTTTAAGTAAACTAGGTCTATTAAAAATTAAAGTATATATTATCACAAAATATAGTATCTTATGTTTGCAATTTATTTATTTTTTATTAAATACGTAAAGAGATGAATGCTTTTATAAAATCACAATAATTTATTGTGGTTTGCTTTAGTATGTATTTTTTAAATATAATAATTTTACAATCCAGAGTCATGTTGTATTCTGAAAAATACGTACTGAAGTCCTAATGCCTAATTACGACATTATGAATTGTCATTTTTGTGTTGGGTCTTCATTATTTAGCAAAATATCGATAATTGTTTTATTTAATTTTTTTAGAAGATTTTATAATATTTATTTTTATCCGGAACATTTTCAGTTTAAGAAAAAATCCAAATTGGGCTAACAGTATTGTAAATGTATGTTAAAGTTATATGAAAAACCACAAATTGTACATTCCTAAAGGTTTATAAGGAAATGTTAATTATATGAAATCGTAAAGAAATAGGATTTTCAAATTCACAAGTACAATTTTTTGGTTAGTTAGAAATTAGAATCAAAAGCAGGCAAAGGCACTTGACTTTCTATGTTTTGATATAATTTAACATTTCTTTAACATTCATGTAACTTTCTACCTTATTTGTTAAATTAAGAACCATATTTTATTTGGTAATTTTATATTGCCTTTGCCTTACAAATATAAGTAATTTTTGCTTATAAGGGCAAAAATGTGAACAAATTAGTCGATCGTATACTCGTTCTAGCATTTTGATTATAAGTTAACGGAGATTATATAAAACAACTTGTGTCAAAATGAATTTTCATATTAGTTTTCTTAAAATGACATGTATAGATTTTCCTTTTTCTAATTTTTTAAAGTTTTAGTGAATATTTGGTACAATTAAATAAAGCTACACACAAGTATTTTATTTTGATGTAGATTTTTAACTCGAAGACAACACCATGTGTAAATTTTATATAAGTTTTATTTAATCAGCCCTCATGACTTTAAAATGATTAGATTGTAAGATTGAGTGGTAAAAACAAACTTTGTATATAATTCTATATATTACAAAAAATTAAGTAAAACTTTTAAGTAACACATTTTGAATTTTATTTTGTCTACCCTGAGATCTGAAGTTTATACAATATTTTTAAGTACTCTTACCTCACCCGGTTTTTGATAACCTTCTTTTCAATATTCACAGAAATTATTATATAATGGGTCGCCTCGCTCTAATTATCGTTTTTTAAATAATATTTAAATTAATTTAATAATGTAAATTTACATTATGCATAAGGTTAAAATATTTTTTAAAGAGTGAAGGATTTTGTTTGACGTCAATATGTTCAGAATAATTATTAAACCATAATCAAATACAAAAGTAAGCAGTTATGGAATTTATATTAGGTAGGTGACAAATATGATGCTAAACAAATAATATTCGTGCGTGACAAACTATGTAAATCGTTTGGATCACTTCTTACAGGTGCCAGCTCCGGAAAACCTTCCAAGAAAAAGGGAAAGAAGCAGGTTCAACAGCTGCCGCAGCAAACTGTAACTATCAGCCCTATATGCTTGCCGGATGCATGAGTTATATATAATTGGGCGGCATGTGTGAACGCGTGGTATGTTTCAGAAGACGGTTCCGACCGTGGTGAGTGCGGTGGCTCCGCCCGCTCCGCCGCCAGTGCCGCCCTCGTCTTCCGAGCCCGCGGCGCCGCCCGAGCCCAAGCATGAGCTGGTCCACCCGCCGTCCGCCCCCGCGACATCCTCCTCCCCAAATCCCGCACCCGCCCCGGACATCAAACTGTCGCCCCCGGCTTCGCTCGCTCTACCCGTACCTCCAGTTAACCACCCTCCTGTTACCAGTCTACCGGACTCGTCAAAGACGCCGTTGCTTAGGGAGCAAAAGCCCCAAAAACCAATGGTTAAAACTGAACCTCGAAACGGTCTAGATAAAGTAGACACGTCTCACTACATAGATCCTATAGAGCGGTCGTTGGCAAGCTTGGAAAGGAGTCTTCAAGCCGACGTCCCAATGGATGTCAGTGTGAGTGTCTCCGAGTCATCGATGAGGCTAGAGGACTTTGCTCTACCGAAACCTTCCATTATGCCTGACGCTTCACATCACAATCTAATGGCCCAACTCGGAGGGCTCACGGACATGACCCATGTTACAGAGCAAATTAAGAATGAAATGTACGTACAACCTCATAACGGATACGTAGAGAAGCCCTCGCAGCATGAGCGTGAGATGTTGAGGTCCGATATGAATCCTAACCTAGTGGGTATGACCACAGCACCTCCTGTGTCATCTATCTTCGACCCCGTGTACTCGGCTCCTCACACGCACGCCATCACAGCACAGTCGCATCTCAATATGCAGAGTGCTACAAACTTAATGGCACCTATAGTAAAAAAGGAAGACGTTAAACCGTTACTTACGCCGAAACCGATCGAGGATCTGATGGTGCCTAATATGATTACTAACAATATGACTGATAGAGCAAAATACGAAATGGAAAAGAAAATAGAGGATAGCAAGAATTCCACTTTTGCTCAAGCTTTTAAATTAAAGCAAGAACAGAATTTAAAAAATGCTAGTTCTTGGTCGTCACTCGCTCAAGCCGGCAGTCCTCAGAGTATTCCCAGCGTCGGAAACACCAATCAAATAAAACAAAAAACCAGTTATGGACAGTTTTCAAGTAAGTATCCTTTCTCATAATTGACTCACGTATTGTCCTAAAAAACGTCGTCTTAATCAAAATATGTCTTTGGCAGGCATTTAAGAAACAGGCTCGAGAAAAGATTGACAGGCAAAGAGCTTTAATTGAGCAGCAGGAGTTGAGGAAGAAAGAGCAAGCGGAAAGAGAAAGACAACGTCAGGAAACAGAAAGGCGGCATCCCGAGGATGACAAAATGAGGTACAAAGTATAAAAATTTATACACGGTAGAGATGACACTACTAAAATAAACATCTTGTGATGTAACGATGATGAACATTGAAAATAATCAAAATCCCATAGTTTAGTTACTAGATTACACAATTAACACTTTCAGCTTCCATTAGCTATTTTTAGTGATTAAGGATTACGAAGACATTAAATTAAAAGCTCTCAATTAAGTACTTTAAAATCCTGTACTATTCGATTACTTTTTAGAATTTTGTAAAAAAAAGTATATTCGATAGATAGAGATGACAAACTTAAATAGCCCGATATTTTAATAAACAGAAATAAAGTGGGAGGAGTACTTTCATACAAATTACAATATTTCGGTATCTGGTACGACTTTAAGTGATTTTGTGTACAAATAAATTTTGTTAGTTTCTTGTGGTTAAAATTTGATAAACATAACATAAAATATTTAACATAAAATTTGATGAATATAACATTTGATGAATGTAACTGACATTGGAAAAAAATCAGGTTAGGTCGCCTTTATGTGTCCTGCTTAGGAGCAGGTAGCTATAGGTAGCTGGTCAATATACTGGCATTTAAAGGGTAATTTTTTTTTTCGACGCTAAACTTACTTTACGAATAAAACGTTGAAACATTTCTCATTTCATTTCTCAAAATGTATTGGTCCCATGTCGCTTTGTTACTACATTTCTATAGCAAATACGCAAGAAAGATATTGACAAACTTCTTCACATTATATTGTACCGTATGTAATAATAACCATTATTTAATTAATGTTTAGGGTCGGTGTGAGTGCACGTAAGGTGGAGAGCGCGGAGGTATCTTCGCCGTCCGTGTCGCCGGTGGCGCGCGGCTCCCCGCCCGCAGCGCCCGCCGCGCCGCCCGCGCCCGCAGCACCCGACAAGCCGCCTATCTCTGAACGTGACCGGCTCCGACAACGAGAACAGGAACGCAGGAGGAGAGAAGCGGTATGCTTTAAAACTTGATATATACCTATATACTATGTATACCTCGCCTCGTCAGAATCGTCTTAACGAGGCGGAAGAGATCCATTTTTTTGGCTTTGCAGACAATAATACGTACTTGACGGTATGCTTTAAAATTTTATATATACCTCGCCTCGCTGCGTCAGAATCGTCTTAACGAGGCGGAGGAGATAAAATTTTGTTGGCTTTGCAGACAGTATACTTGAAAAATTAATTGGTATATGTATGTATTCCTCTAGTAAACAAATGCTATAGTCAATCAATCAAGTTGAATAGCATTAAATTTAAGTGAAGTTATAAATAAATCTGATGTGTATATTACATTTTTGTAGAGTTTCATATAAATCATTTTGTGAGAAAGAGTAAACAAAATCCATTTTCAAGAACTCTATTTCCGATTTATTCAAAGGAATTTTATATTTTCTTCTTGACCATAAATATTTAATTCTTAATTTTACAAAAAGGTGGAACACACCTACATTCGATAAAATATATATTTTACATAATTAAATTTAATGATTGAATAAAACGCAGATGGAGATACTAGATATTTTTGTTATGTTTAATACATTGTCTTAATGTAAATTTTTGTTTTCAGTTGGCTGGGCAAATTGACATGAATTTCCAAAGCGATACGATGGCGGCCTTTGAAGAAACACTGTAATGTGTTATGCTGGCCTTATGTTAAATTGTACATATGAGTATATAAAGTAAATAATATGTCAATGCAATCTATACATATGGTGATAGTATGACACCAGAGTGACGTGATCGTTTTGTGTGTGAATTGTTGACTAACATGTGGTTAAGTGCTGTGAATAGATATACTTATTATAAATTAAAATGTTGTACTATCAATCTTGACTTCTTGGTTGCGTGCTGTAGGCATTGACGAGGGGGTAGCATTTTAAAATAACTGTAATATAATAAGTTTGTATGCAAGTTCTTGATGTAAACTCTCTTTACACTTGTAAGCCTATAATATATTTATATTTTGTTGTAGGAGCGTCTACCTTCCAACTTGTTTTATAGTATGTACTAATAATAAATAGAATGGTAGTAATTGAAATTGAAAAAAAAATCAAAAATATTTTATGTAATTGATGAATAGACAATCAACTTTTAACCATGGAATCTGTTATTTCTTCAAGTGTCTTCACATTACACAATGGTGAATGTTTTGTGTAAAGAAACATTTGAAGTACTACATCTTACCAAGGTGCAATGTGAAGTCATAGTGCGTTATGTATTTAATAGTAAATGGAATTTTTGTTACGTGTTCGATTTTCGATAAATATTGCTTAATGTTAGTAGATTTTTTATCAGTCTGGCAACAGTAAACAGATCAAATGTCATACATTTGATTTGAAATATATTTATTTTACATTGGAATATGTCTTTTATGTTGTAGTTAGATAACTCCAGTGGAAAATGTATTAAAGTATTATGGAAATTAAACATACTTCATAAGTTTATGGTATGTGTAAAATTAATACAGTACCAACCCAAAACAATTGTATATTGTTAAGAAATTTTTTATTTCAGCCATTTTTCTAGACTCAAATCAATGTAGATATAAAGTAAAATATATTGACATTCCATATTGTACTGTGTTGTTTAAATTGTGCAAAATTGTTTAAAACATTGTGTACATGTTTATCTGGATCCACACTCTTATGCATCATCCAACAAATAAATCTTATGTCTAAACATAAAATATGAAGATTCATTTAGTATTTAATCCATGTTGGGACTTATTAAACAGAAAAGTCAGTTCATTTTATAAAATGCATTGAATTTATAGCAGTATTGTAATTTACTAGAAGTAAGTATAGACTATTGAAATTCAAAAAAGAAATTTTTGATTTATGATTATATATACTGAACCAGTTAATTAGCAATAAAGTATTTTCTAGGTTGTATGTATATAAATATTATAGATAGGGAGGACATCAAATGTAGATTTATGTATAATTTTTAAAACATGTAGTTATGTGGCATTTAATCTTTAAAGTGGTAGGGTCTGTCCCAATGTGCAAAATTATTGTATTTATTCATTGAATATCTAGAATTTCGTATTGATATTAAAATCTATTTATACAGGGTGACTGGTGAATTACTATCGATATTTGAGGACGTGATATTTGACGATCATATATGACAAAATAAAAATTCATATAACATAAATATTAATAAACTTCTAAGTAAAGTTAACCAAAAGTTGTGTAATTAATTACGCATCGTGTGAACACCCTACAGATTAGGTATACACTGACACTCACACATACGTGTGTCGTGACGTGGTGTTGTATCAGCACGCCGCCGCACGCGTCCACACTTGAACACTTGGAACGTGTCAACACTTTATTTATTTATACGGAAATTTTGTCAAAAGTTAAGTACCTATTTTTTTTACATAATTGGAATGAGAATCATGTACCGAGTATTCTCCTTAAATATTGATAGTAATTCACCAGTCACCCTGTATAAGAACTGTTCTAGGTAAACTATATACTGTACCTAAGTCTAAGGGGGGGGGGGGGGTTAAAAGGAAAGACGAATTATGACCACTAAATATAAATGACCACTGCAATTGTTATAAATTGCTTTTATGCAACAAAGTGGTCTTTATTTTGGATAACACTTGTAAACATCATCTGTTTTGGAGACAAGTGAGGTAGCTTTCTTATAGATTACTCTTCTGATATTATCGGGATAGTCAGCTAGAAATTAGATAGGTTGTAAAAAAAAATTAGTAAGGCAGTGTTTAATAGTTAGGTCAATTTATGTTGTCATTAAACACATGTTGAGGTAAGGTTAATTTGCGAAATTCATTCTAGCTGCTTTATCACCATTACAAATTTTGAACTGTCTTGGGAACACTATATTCATTAAACCCTTATTTTCATAAAAATCTATTACATCTTGATAAATGACACTGGTAAAAATAATTAGTCCCAAGAAGCCAAGCCCTCAATCACGTTTATTTCTAACAAAGTCCGAAAAGGTCGCGTAAGATTGTTTCGTAAAGTAGATAAAATCCATGATCTCTTTTTCAATATCATTGATAACATTTTGAAATAAAGGCAGGTGGTCAAATGAAACGAATATACACGTTGGAATAATAATATATCACATTCCTTGAACTTACTGTACAACTAAATTAGGCTACAGACAAGCACTTAAAATATATTAAAGTTAAAATAATATTTATATTTAAATAAATTCACGAGTACCCCTCTAGGGGGCGGAGTCCCACTCAATGAGGTAGGCAGGCTGCAGGCCGGGCGCTAGGCGGCGCGCCAACACTCTGAACGTCTGCCCCGCGCGGAAGTAAGACTGGACGGTGGACTTTAACGCAGACAGCTGGCGCGCCTCCACCTCCCCCGCAGGCACTAGGGCCTTGTGCGGGCTGAGCTGGAGGCTCTTCACGCTGTTCAAGTTGTTCACGCTGTTCGTGTTCCGTCTGCCGTTCTCATAGTAGTTCTTCTCCTGCCGCTGTCTCAGTCTTCTACCGTGGAACTTCGCATTGTTTAAGTGCGCCGTGGCGGGGGGAGTGACGTCCGTCTCCATAGTGGTTTGGACAGCTTTTGAACTGTCTTCGGGCAGTGGACATGATTTGTTTAGCTGTAGTGAAAGAAAGCTATTACTTATAATCTATTTATATTTTGGTCATATTTTTCTTTAAAAAAAAAACTCAATAAAGGAATAAGCAAAATTTTGTGTTTGTTACTCATGAAATCATTAGATCTGCATAAGAATTCAAGTATACCTTTAAGTTAAAATGCTAGTGTCACAGACCTCTCTTTGACTTATAAAATGAAAAGGGTACAAGGGCTGAAGCCTTTTGAGAGATTTTCATGGCAAAGTGTTAATATTAATATATTGTTTAGTGACTTTTTTTTACCTGGATTTGTAAATGCTTTCGCGGTCTTCTATATTTCCTTCTCTTGACTTCACCGTTCGGGCCTATAACAATATCTTTTTCACTGAGCTTTCTTTTCAATGGTCGTATTAAAGGCCCCATTAGAGGATTTAATTGATTTGGTAGAGAGAACCGCGAATGATTTCGACCATTTTGTCTATTATGAATATTCATATTCGATGAAAAGGGAGTTTTTGAAGGATATGTATTTTGCATTAAAAATGGGTTATTCTTCCCTTGAAAATCTTTTAACGGCGGTATGATTGCATCTAACGTTCCTCTACTCGACGTTTCGTCCCCTGAAGATTCAAATTCATGTATGAAACTGCTTGGGTATGCGGGTGCACTGTCCATGTGCTGGAGAGACATTATCTTGGAATGTTCAATAATGTTTTTGGTGGATAACTTGGAAACTTCTAAATTCATAGTTGCTATCCTTGAGGTATGAGTGTTGATATTAATATTACAGTCGTTATTACTCGAGTTAATGTCATCAGTATTGTCTTTGGGTACCTTATCTAACTTAGAACAGAGTATAGGTGTGTTTAGTGATGGCACTGTGGAATTTTCGCAGGTTGATTTTGCTTCATTTGACTCAGATTCATTTATTTCTGTAATTTTTTCTAATGTATCATCTTTGGCATCGGATTTCCTAGGAGTGGAGGTACACACGGAGGGGGAGGGTTGTTCGTCGCGTTCCGATATTTTAACGGATTCATATGAACTGGCTGAATCGTTTTCTGAATTAGAATTAAGATTTTCATGAAACCTTTTCCCCATCATCAGATTCAACCAGTGACCATCGACTGGCACTATCATGCGCTGGCTATGGTTTTTATAGGAACTTTTTTCGTTGTTACTACTTGAAGGCTGTGAACTAAGAACAAACTGTTTAATATATAATCATCTCGTTAAAAGCGTTCTCTTTACTTATATTTATTTAATAAAATTTTAATTTACCTATCATCGATGGGTGGCGAGGGCGCTCTCGATAAAAATCTTAACTTAGGACCGTATTCTCGTACAATTTCGTCAGTCAGCGGTTCTCCCTTTTTAACCTGATAAATAGAGGTATGTATGAGTAAAAAAACATGTATAAAACATTTATAAATTAATATGTACATGTGTAATAAAAATCTTTAGGCTCACATTCCTAGTAAGACTTAAAATAATGGTGCAAGTGTTCGAGTTTGTGATTCCATCATAAGATACATATTATAACGTACATAAAGTATTAAACTATGTATTTTAATACACATTTTCCAGTTTGATAACGTTTTTGGTTCAAACAATGCATTATTAAAAACGAAATTCATTTTCAGTAAGCATACAAAGCTATCTAAAAATCTATTTAATTTTACCACTAGATTAGGTTTTTAGAACCACGCTTTTGAGTGCTCTATTAGGTTTCAGAATACCTGCTCGATTAGTTTTTATCTACTTTTTACAACTGGCAATTTTAGTCTCATTTAAGAGGTCTTATAACATTTTTAACATATCACATATAGTCAGTGTCGGTGTTAGGAGGGGGGCGCGATGGGACGACGGCCCAGGGCGCCAAATTTGGGGGGGCGATTAGTGGAGGTAGGATACTTATAAATGAAAATGAATAGGAGCTACATAACTTTCTACGTCCACGTCGTTATCTCTGGGTCACGCTAAAGTAAAGATGGTAGATGGAATACATATAGAATTCTTAATACACGTTCAGTGTTCACATTGGATCAGAAAAAAAATTATACTTTACGATTTTGATTTCTCCAAAATATTCTTGTATAGTCAGAACTAATATGTACCTGTTCGAGAGCAGCTAGTTGTAGTGGCGGTGGTGGCGGCCTTCTTAGCCTCAGACCCCAGATGGTCGCTCGCTTCTTCATCTCTCTGCCGCACTTGAACCGCTTGCGTGATGACGTCAGCGCTGTCAGTATACGTTCACGTCGCTCGTTCACTGGTGTCCGCCACATCTGATTTATTTTATGATCATAGTTAGCAGTTTGTGACAGAGATGTCGTATAGTCTAGCAAATATTTATTTATATCTAAATGAATCAAGCCACCATTGGAATATAATTGCTTTCTTAATTTCTCACTTATTTCCTAACTATACAAACCAATCTATGATGTTTAAGATAATATTGATATAAGGTTTTCGGTTTCGGAGCTATTAATTATTGATTTATCTATATCATTACGAACTAGATATGAATACAATCTATATAAAACTGGATTCAGTTACGAGAGATATTTTTCTGCGATGGCGAAATAAAGGGGAAAGTTTTCATAACAAACAATCAATCATACCACTTCTAATAAATGTTCATAAAAGTAGTAGTACATTAAATTGACATTTTAGTTATATTCCAATATAGTTATTAGTCCATGCCGTACCTTCTCCGGTAGTTGTAGCGCGTGCCAGTTGTCCATGATGTAAGGCATGATGACCGTGTCCAGGTCGAAGTAGTTGGGTGCGTTATACGCGGTGAGGTTGTAGAGAGCGAGGTGTGCCAGGTCCAGCCAACACAACTCCAACCTCCGCAAATACTCCGCGCCGCCGTTGCAGTTAGCACATGCGAATATATACAGTCTGGAATATTATATGCTATGTAAGGAAGCTTTACCCTTATATATTATACGAGAGACTTGTGTCTTATGTCTATTATATCTAAGAAATTCTTGATATCTTATGATACATTGATTAAATGTTTAGAGACCTACAACTGTTAAATGAATAATAAAAATATTTTATTAAGTAGCATGAAAAGATTTTGTATAATAATATTACTTTGTAAAGTCGTCATAACTCACTTATCCCCAGCGTATAACGGATATTGAAGACTTGAGACACATCTTTGGTGGAACCATCGCGAACAGCGACAGCATAACAGCATCTGAAAATTCAGCTGCTATAATATAGACCACCTATTTATTACGCTCCGCTTTAAAATAATCATTAGACACATTCATACAACATACTTGTGCAAGCCAATCGCTCTTTTCGCCACAGTAGCAGTGAACTTCGTTCGAATCTTTTCCCGCTTCCGATGCAGTCGATGATGTAGTTGATGCGGTCTGGAGATGGAACATTCGATCGGCTTAATTATAGTTTATAATTATTAAATATAAGATATATTAATACTTCGTACATCACATGGCGGAGTTAGTTCTTGTTGCTGTCGTCTCTGCTGGCCTCCTTTGTACCTGAACAGGTCTGATCTCTTGGAGGCTCTGTTCTCCGCCGCGGCCACACGATACCTTTGGTCCACACACCTCTTACAATGCCATGATGCACCTGAAAGAGACGGCTAGTTAATATTGATATCATTTAGGTCTGTAATATATTTTCCTTTGACGGAAATGCAGGCAATAATTTTGTTTTTTCGGTTTTGCTTATAACTTCTATAAGGAGATTGTGTTTCTGGGATAGTCTAAGGAATGTAGATCGGAATTTCAAGTAACTGCTTAATAGCAAATATTTAAATAAGTTAGTGTCGCATGTTATATGAAATTGTTTCTCTGTTGCCTAAATTTGTAAGTATGGCTAACGTCACTAATAAATCTCTAAGAAAATATGTGATGGCTATAGTCCATTCCTTTAGGAATCTCAAATATATGTAAGTAAATATTTGTAATACAAGATTAACAAGTATGAAGACGAATAAAAGATTTGTCCCCACATCATCAGTGTCAACGTCATCTATTGCTGCGAGTTCTGAAATATATATAAAATATGACACATTTTGTGGCAAATTCAAAGAAAGACGAGTGGATGAATGGAATGTATATTGTGAAAACATGAATAATCCATTGTTAGAACCAAGCGAGATGACCCCAAGTACGTATGTACTTACGGAAAACCATCGATTTTGAAACTTAGCACAATGTACACACGGAATTAAATGAAAATAGGGTTGTGTTAGATATTCCGTATAAAGTACAGGTTGAAATTTGAACAATTTAAACCTTTTTAGCAACAAGTACGTATTATGTTTAGGTATTAGATGACATATTATCGGAATTTTACCCGTAACTATCTGTTTATGAGGAAAGAAAAGACTAATACTAAATTCTTTACTGAAAGAGATATATGTATAGGCAAGTACTTGTAAAGATTAAAGCAGAGAGATTAAAATTGAGAATTATTAAATCAATACACTCAAGTTATGTACTCTAAAATAACATACAAAGCCTTACATGAAATACACGTATATTATGGTTTTGTTTCAAGAATTTAGCCCTGTAACTACATATATTTAAGAAATAAATTTAGATTCCAAGAATATACCTGAGATGAAATTGTTTAAAAAGAAAAGAAATGATGAGTTTTTGCTCATTCGCTCGTTTTTATGATACGAAACCTTTGCCAAGATAATTGTTATGAAGAAAAAATAACAAGTCCGAAATAAATGGTATATGAAATAGTTGACTTACTGTGAGTAATAATGAGAGTAGGATTTACAAAGATTAGTGGATTTCAGAGTACAATACAAAGATAAGTGGAGTCAAATCAAACGATTCCAAGAAGTGAGATGATAACAAGCAACAAGGACACTTCCAGAAACTGTTTAATGGTGCACCTATCGTCATTTTCCTTTTTGGTTACTGTTTAAGATAAATAATCATACTGTGTTGTAAGAAATACGTAAACTGAAGACTGGAGGAGGTATTCAAGGGTGAAGAACCTCATCATATTTAGAATAATTTATTCTTCCTTTCATGAGTTCTACTTTATGAGTGTATCAAAAAATTATTCTAATTTTATATCATTAACAAAATCTGACGATCGGATCAGTAGTATGTTATGACAGATCAACGAACTCACTATTCAATTTGTTATAATATTACTAGTGATATCTATATAGTATAGATGGAAAGATAGACTCATAGAAAACCAAATACATGTTGGTCACAACAATCACGTATCGTCGGGGTTAGTGCAAAACCGCGTAACGTAGGATAATTCCGCGTATCCACATTGCAAGAAAATTATCAGAAAAAAGTTTAAGCTGAAATATTTTCTAAATCAACGACTTTTAAAGTATTTTTTTCACAATAAGGAATTATTTAGTGTTTGAATTATTACAAATTGCTTAGTTACGCGGTTTTGAACTATCGCCGACAATGTCACAGTTAATAGTATCATGAGCATTCCAATCATACCGTTAATCCATGCTTCGACCGGCGGCGTGTGACACTTAGCGTGATATCCCCTGCCGCACATGTCGCATGCGATAATCGCGTTAGCTGCTGGGCTTGCTGCGGGGCCCTCGCGCCTCTTGCACACAACACACATGATCCTTCCATCGTCGGAGGGCGGAGCGCTAAGCAACTTGAGTGACGTCACAGGCGCCCACGCGTGGGTCCCGTCCCCAAACTTGACCAGACACCTCGCCACACCCGTGCCCACTTCACACGAGTCATTGTCATTGCTAGTGCTCAACTCTACTATTGTACCTGTATTGTGAACGAGAAGCATTGATTGACAACAAATGGAGAGGCTGAGAGAAGAACAATAAATGAAACTAATATTTTCGGATTTTACTTCGCGTTTTATTTTTGATTAGAAACTACATACTCCCGACGTTTCGGCTACTTTTCAGCAAACGTGATCACGGGCAGACGAGATCTCGTCTGACCGTCGAAACGTCGGCAGTATGTAGTTCCTAATCAAAAATAAAACGCGAAGTAAAATCCGAAAATATTAGTTTCATTTAAATGAATACTCGCGAAAATCTTAGATCCCATTATAAGAACAATAAAGTACGAAATATTAAAAACCTTCAGAGTAAAATACATTATATATAACAGACTAGCTTTCCGCCCGCAGCTTCGCCGCGTGGAGTTCGGTTATATCGCGTTTCCAAGAGAACCTTTCAAAAGTCTGGGATAAAAACTATCCTATGTTCTTTCTCAAGGTCAACTCTATCTCTGTACCGAATTTCATTAAAATCAGTTCAGTGGTTTAGGCGTGAAAGCGTAGCAGACAGACAGACAGACAGACAGACAGACAGACAGACAGAGTTACTTTCGCATTTATAATATTATAGTAGGGATTAGTATCGTATACAACTGTTCATGTTATACCTAAATAATATCGTCCATCCTTATTGAGTACGAGGACATCGTCTCCACAGTGGAAAGGATTGGTGTTTGTCTTTTCCGTGTTGGTCGTGGAGTCTGGCATTGCATCCTGTGTTTCTTCTTCTTTTTTCTCATTCTTTTTGTTAGTGCATGGTGTAATTGTCTTGTCAAAGTCGCTTAGCAGCACATCGATTAGGGATAACTGAGTGGAAACCTCTTTGAAAAAGAAATTAAGAGTACATAAGACATGTGAATTTGAATAGATATATGCAATATAAAATCTTTGTATGCTTTTTTGATTCTCCTCAAATTTAATGCATACAAAATCAATTTTAACTTAAGAACTTGTTGTATTTTTAATAAAGTAATTTTACTTTATGAAGAATCTTTGATAACTTATTAACTATAGTATTATAAAACGTGGGTTGAATTGAAACATTACATATGCAATAGTTTTTCAATTTCACTTAAACTTCATTAATTATATCTGTATCCAAGAAAAAAGTTGGCTATTAGCAATAATATATGTAATACTAAATAAACTACTTATATAACCTTAAAATAGTTTTTCTTTGTATAAAGGTAAGGCATATGTATCTATAAATACTTATTATTATTAAAAGATTAATTATTTTACCCATTTTATTATAATATAACAGGAAAACCGAATGGTATAGAAACTTAACCATCACAATACTGCTCTCTGGTCAATTAATCAGCATTTTAAATTATCCAGACAAGTCTTTAGTTGATACTTTATTTACCATATTAACATGACAACTACCACCCAAATTATTTCTATTTTATTGAGTTTAGGTCTCATAACTAACAGCTAATATACTTACTTGAAAATATTTATCTCCATATAAAGTCAGCAATTGTAGGACAAAATTAAATATTATTTGAATAAATCCCTTATAACAAGATACTCTTGTTCTCTTATTTAATTAAATTTAACAGTTTATGAAGAATTTATTTCAGTGATGCCAATTTTTCATACTTTCTTAAATTATGACAAAATGTAAATTTAAAGTTCAAAAAGTTTGTTATAAAATAGTTTTTATACCAGCCTATGTTTGAAGAATCGTGTTTTAAGTAAATAGTTTGTATAACAAATTATATCTGTGTTATACTTTCAATTATAATCTAGTATACCTCAGAGACAAAGCCAGAATTCTACAGAAGCACAAGTGAGAAATTAGATAGTGTCATAACAAGCTGTTGTCAACGTTTCATGTGGAAAGAAAAATTTCGTAAGTGTTATATTTAAAATTATGTATTACAATTGAGGATTAATTATGAGACGTGACTTAGAATTTCGACAAATTATTCAGTGTAATTTTAGTATTACCTAGTGACTCGCTTAGTCAGCTATGGATACCGTTTAATTTAGATCCCGACCTAGTTCTCAGAATGTTTTAAAGGTACATTATCAACAACAAAAACTACGGGATGTGAGAGTTGATGATGATTGTCAGGTGCTTGTACAAAGTGTTAAAACGGTACTCACCAGCGTTGATGTCCATTTTAGTTTTTCTTCTGAATATCAGAAACGGGATACAAATGACTAAATACGATTTCGTTATTCATAATAAAAGAACAAACACTAAAAGCATTGGCGCTATTGCGGCCATTATAGCAGTCAACTAGTCAAACCTATCTATGTTTTCCCGCGGTAACAAAATTGAAACTGATAAATAGTAAATGAACATGCGAGTAAATTATTTTCCTATATTTTTAAAACTTCATGGTTATTATTAAAATACGATAAAATTCATTTAATAAATTGTAATTCAATAAAATTTTATACAAAATACACTATACTAAAACCTAAATCGTAAAGTCGAATACGATTTACGAAAAATCTACATCTACACACTACAGATAATAAATATTTACAGATTATTAGTAAGTAGTGAGTACTGATAACTGGTGGACACAGATACGTCGCTTTAAAATAGTGTTATTTCAAAGTTCAATCTTTATTATTATAAAATGTAAAATTGATGTTTTTGTAAAATAATTTTTTAAAATTATAGTATAGTATTTGAAAAGATTTAGTAATTTTTCTCACGTGTTATTTCTCTTATTTTTATAAACTGTATACTCAATATATCAGTGATGTTAACAACCTTATTTTGTTTACTATATTTCAACGTAATTTTACATTTATTATATTATCCCAAGGGTAAAGTTAGCGACTTTTATGAGTCTGTTAGTTTCCTAGGACAATTGTCACAGATACAATGACGGATGAATGTATGATAACTTTTTGCCTTATATTATTCCATATACAGCATGAAACTTTTGGTATCGCACTAAGTCATATTATATTAACTATTCTTTGCATCCATGCAAAGTATTATTGTAATTTATATAATTTTATGTTAAGTTCATAATTTAAAACAACATTAATAAAAATATATCCTTATAACTTTTTTTCCAAGGAAAAATTCATTGCATAGACATTTCATTTTAATACCTATAGTCATGGTCATATTAAATGGTAATTAAATTAGATTTCTAATTTTCATCTAAGGTAAGTCGAAAACGATATATTCCGCCAATTTTAAAAAGTTGGAAGAAAGCAGGCAGGGGATTGATTTTGACTCTTATATTATGGAAAAAATTTGATAATGTGACTTAGGTATAAATATGTATTATAGATCTGAAAAAACATTCATAATCAGTATTTATACAACAACGACGACATCATTGCCTTTAATTAAAAATACATCTTATTCTAAACCATTAAAAAATTGCTATAGGGAACAAAACAAAAGTATGAGCAAATTTTAAACTTTGGGTACGAGGGATATTTAAACAATTATGTCGAGGCACAACTATTAACATAGAGTAAATAAATTAGATGTCTCTTTATGTCAGTAGGTACTAGATTTACTGGGGCTACATAGTTCTTAATTTCCTGCATGATGGGTTTTATGGATATTTCTTTTTACGTCCTCTTTAAAAAAAATTGCTAACATCTCACAATAGAATTTAGCACACTGTGGCATTAGTTTTAACGTTGGTTGGTTCATTAGTGCCGCTGTTTTTTATGTATATTTCGTCGCATTGAACCTTAACGATTGTACTGGTCAAGTTACTATTAGCTTATTTTAAAGTTTTCTTTAATTTTCTTAAACCACCATTAATGGTTGAACATAAGATATAGAATAGCGGCAATATAATTTTAGGTAATATTTTTTGTCTTTGGGTTCTGTCAAAGTATAAATTGTCAAAAAATAAAAGTTGAATCAGATGACATTGTATTGTTTTAGTGAAAATTTTGGTCGTAACCACTAATAAGTAATTTTAAATGGTTACTAAATTGGTTTATCAGTACATTGAATAACGTTTTGGAAGATTAGATTTTTTACTCTATTACTACATTTTACTTATGTGTGTTATTGTTGCTTTGTTTTATTCAATGGGTAACGCTGCACTTAAACAACACTATGAAACAGCATCAAAAACGGGGGTCCTACAGATATCAGACTATAAATTAAAGGAAATTCCAGATGATGTTTTTAATTTGGCAGAACAGTTACGAAACTTGGATGTGTCTAAAAACAAAATAACTAATATATCTGACGCTATAAGCGAATTGAAACATTTAAAACAACTAAATTTGTCATCTAACACGATACAAATTCTGCCGTCTTCAATAGAAAATCTGAAAAAGCTAGAGTTATTGAATATGTCATTTAATTCATTAACATCTCTTCCACCTGCGATTTCAAGTTTAAGCAATTTGAAGCAAATATATTTGAATAATAACAAGATAAAAAAGTTTCCCATGGAGATATTGGGACTCCAAAACCTCGATGTTGTGGAGCTTTCTCATAATAAACTGACAGAAGTTCCAAGTGGTATGTCAAACTTGTTTGCCGCAGAATTGAACCTGAGTCAGAATGAGATATCTGTTTTAAGTGAAGATTTAAGTCAAGCACCTCGGTTAAAAATACTGCGGTTAGAGGAGAACTGCCTTAGTTTAGATGCTATATTACCGAGCCTTTTAAGGGATTCCAAAATTCATACACTAAATGTAGACGGCAATTTATTTGAATCAAAACAATTAGCATCAGTGGAAGGTTACAACGAGTATACAGAAAGATATACAGCAATGAAGAAGAAAATGTTTTGAAAGCTTTAACACAAAAAATTTATTGTTATACAATATTATGAAATACAACGTCTTTGCACATAATAATTTTTAATGAACCTTTTTAGGGAAGTAACACATTTTTAAGTGTTTTTTTTTGTATCCTGTAGCACATAAATTATTTGATGTTTAAAATATTTCTATTCACAGTTGACACTTAATATAATAAATTTGTTCTCATTAAAACATTCCACATTAAGAAGCAAGACATCAAATAGTTAATTATCGCAAAATCAGAACAAAAGAGACTGTTATTTACAGTTCCAACACTATATAACTGAATGTTTAAATTATTTTTGTATAAAAAAATTAACATGTTTAAATAAAATTATTTATTAGTTTTTAGTATTATTGAATTACACTTACATCCTTACCATTTAGTCCATTGAAAAACAAATCTAAACTACTAAAGTGTACATAAAGAAGTGTTATAATTAAATTCTAGTAGAAAGAGTTTGTAATTTTAGCTCAATGGGATGAAAATAACTGGTTCAAAATTAGATTTAAATATTCTATCTGCATAAACATACATTGTAAAATTTATAAAGGCTTGTAAAAATGCTTCATTCAAAGGTATAAAAATATTATTTTTTAAATATAGGTAAAAGTGTAATAAAAAAGGAATAATATAGGTCAGGCAATGGAATAATATCGATTAAAACATAAATGTATACTACTGGACTACTTGCAGGAAAAAAATTATACTCTCAGGAGGGGAATGTAAGGAGTAACTAGTACTAAGCTTCTCCTTAAGTTTTGTTAGTTGTCACCTAGTCAAAATCTGATTAATAATTTTTTTGAAATTCAAATGAAACTTGATAATAATGATAACGCTTTTCTCAAAAACCACAATTTTCTTTAGTAGTATATCTTCTACCTGGCAATTTCCCAGCTTTAGCCAGGGTTGGCCTTACATGTTGTGAATAGTTTTGGCTAATTGTTTTTACGACCTGCCGCCTGCCTGACATGAACCCTCTTTGGGAATGCATTAATCAGTGATGTCTGAATACTCTTAGAAAGTACATATGACTTGGAAAAATCACATTGGTACTTGCCAGTCGAACCCCTCGTGCATGAGAGGCGGGACTTTTAAACACTAGGCTACCACTGACATTCTTTAGTAGTAGTATACATAAGGGTATAATTTTATATAACACTCTCTCAATGAGCAGAGATACATCCTTTAGACCAGAGTTATATTATAATTTTTTCTTTTTCTTAAATCATTGAACAGATAAAAAATGTGTTAATGATAAAGTACATTTTTAATATCCATTTTGTACCAATAATATTACATTGAAATTATTTAAAATTAAAATGCAATCATCGAATTATGTACACCCAAAATAGTTTAACGGATTATTATAGTTTTTCGTAGTTTACAAGTTACCTTAAGTTTTAATTTTACTCATATTCTACATTACCATTAAAAAAATACTTACTAACAAAATTCAAAATGTCGTTATCCACCTGATTAATTACGATTGCAATAATTATCATTATCTTAATAATTCCTAAATTATTAATTTGTCTTAGGATAATCGAAAACCTAATATGAAGACCAATCTATAGGAAACGTATTCAATGAATAATATGCTCCTTTTTTATAAGTGATATTTTGTACTAGGTATTATTTTAACTTTTCTAACATACAATTTCTATCATTCTGCCTACTCTCCTTGGTGCTAATGCACCAATGGTAATCCATTGTATAATATTGTCTTCATATTTTTATTTAATAACTTCGTTGAATATATTTGAGAGAAAATAAATAATAACGTATGAATTATGATAATTATCTTTATATAATTATAAAGATAGCCTTTATCCCGTTGGGGATATTATTATTTTATAGACTTTCACTTGTAATAACTCTCACGTGACCTAGCCTAATTACCTTGAAATTAAAAATTCTTTGCACTCTTCGTTGCCGAATGAGAATAATTGATTTTTGGTTGCATAACTGTTAGCAATGTATACATCGTACCTAGTTCCAGGCGTGATGTTGAAAATTAGGTTCATATGATAGACTGCTAGAATTTGATTAAAGATTTAAGTACTGATTAATGTGGTTCATTTTTACCTAGTGAGTAAGAAAGCGACACATTACCTGATTTATAATGTTGAAGTTAGTAAAATACGAAGACCTATTGACATATTTTGTATTATTTATTCATAATTATATATTTTTAATCAACTTCCTTAAAGTATTTATAGACGATTTATTACAACTGCAATTTTTATTATCAGTTGAATTTTGTAATGCTATTAAAATATGATCGTAGTTCCAATGATAAGGTTTAGTAGATTTGGTTCAATAAAATGATATTTATTATCTGACAATTTGAGGCAAGACTTTACCTATAGGCAATACTCGAGGAATTTAGTGAGATGAGATAATATTAAATCAAGTGATACGGAAAAAGTTCGTGTAATAGCTATAAGGCTAAAGAGCATCTAGATTCAAAATGTAATTCAAATTTGTTTGGAGGTTTTTACACGATTGAGTAACAAGGGCAAATGCAAAAATATGTCACACACAAAACTACAATAATATTATAAAATAAAATTATACTTTTGATAGAATTTGACATAATTTCTATTCTAATAAGTCATATAAAATACGATTTCAAATAAAAGTTTTAGTGATTCGGTGGAACTACCTGACTAACAGCCATAAATCTTTACCTATGTTCCTGACGTTTTTAATGCGTTAAGGTCGGGTTTTATAATTTACTGTAAATTTTTGAAGCTTTCTTTAGGTTGAAATTCGTAAAATAGATTCCGTGTGAACAAAATTTATTATTCGGCTTACATTCAATACTTATCATTTGTTATCGAGGCGTCAAATGCTGACGCGCTGCAAGTCGTAGGATAGAATAAACTACACACTAGTTGTTGTCACAACGCTGTGTGCGTTGGATGCCGTTTGTAGAGTCAATGAATAGCGTTGTTCAAAACTCCAGCTACACACGCATCTTGACCTAATTTATTTAATAATAAGAGAATTGTTCATAACAGTGAAAGTGTAATTCATTATTTCTTATTGTAAGTACTTTTTTTTATAATATCTAATGCCAAAACGAATGACTTAATACTAATGTACCTAGATTATTTTTGTCGATTAGTGCGTTGGTTTTGAAACTCCATTAACCGAAAAATAGCTATTGTTTTTGTTTACAAGTAGTACCTATGTTACAAAAATTTTTGTCTTTTCGTACCAATTTATTAAATATTTTAAGAAGTTTAGTTTTCTTGAAATTGTAGACGCTGTATTACTATTTTAGAATTCAGTAAAATTTATTTTTTAAATATAATACTTACGTTTTAAAGTTTAAAAACTATTGGAGAAAAGGAAAAAAAAAACAAAATAAAAGTTTAGTTATTATATATGTTAAACATTTGTTGATGTATTAACTACGAGATCTAACTTTTTTTTTATATCTCTATATTAACCCATATTGCGAAGTTCTAAATTAAATGCCAACAATATTAATTATTTCAAGAACAATAACTATTTGTTATGACTTATATAAAATTTATGATATACTATTGTTTTTATTACAAGTAACTGAGAAGTTTCTATTTTTTACAATAAAATCTTACATTGATATACATATATAAAAGTTCAATTTTCTTACGTCATAGTCTTCATTAACCTTTAAAGTACATGAAGAGTAATTGCAGATTAAATTAATATATCATAAACATGAGCTATACTTATTATACTTAATTTGATTATTTGTAATGCGAAGCGTACAGAAAGGTGACAGAGAGGTCGACACAAAATTTTGTTGATTAATTCAATTCATTTATATACATAGATTCGATAAATTTTCAACCAATTACAAATAAGAGATTGTTTTTTAATAACTTACTTTTAAATGTATTCAGAAACAACCTAGTTTTGGTTAAACTGAAGGAACTATTGTTTTATTTTGTTTAAGTTATACCATACAGATAGCTATGTCCATTGAGCAAAAAGTCAAGGAGCAAAATGGTGGCTTTTTCTCAATTAGTTTTGCTTTATCTAGTTTTGAGTGTTTGTTAATAAAACATTCCTCATTATCATCGACATTAGCTTTGATCAGTTCACTGGTGGAAATAGGCTAAGAAACCTTTTTGGGAAAAACATTGTTTAGTTAGCTGGGTCTGTATATTTTTCAAAATCAGAATAAAAACTAGAGATATTCCGTTTTATTGAGATTAGTGAAATGGAAAAAAATTGCGGCTACTTGTCCTCATACATACAAAATGACGGCAAAGTTATTTCGTATTTTTAGTTTTCCCAAAAGGAAGTAGTTGTATGTTAATTTATTAATACATATACTGCGTTTCTAAATATTATTGATTATATGAAGGTTGTGAAACTAGTTTTTCGCAAATCAATTATTTCCTGATATCGAAATTTTGAATTATTATTAAAAATATTAACTAGTTTTTTAGTTTAAACTTCGCTTGTGTTATATTTTTAAATTATTATTTTAGTTCGTATAAATAGTTTTAGTTCGTATCATTTGGTCAGCTATTCTTAACTATTCTTAATGATTCCTAACACGGTCTATTCCGTTTGTAACTAATCTTAATGTACTTCTCTTAACAACTATCATAGCTTCTGGTACGGTAATTGATAAAGATATCTCATAAAAATCTTTGGGCGTGTTAAAATAAGTGATAATTATTCAATAGTTACACATAATGATGGGTGTATTATAAATCTTCATCACTTAGCACTCACATGTTATAGGTACATACTTATTTAATATATGTATATTGATAAAAACTTATCTAGGATGAAAGATCATGTATGTCTAATGCTTGGATATTGCTGTCGGTCATTAAGGGAAAAATGTTATTGCATTGATTACATAATAATTCGTAATTGCTGTATCTAATGACTAGGTACATATACTATTTTATATATCAAATGTTATTGAATATCAAGAAAAGATCGTAATATACATAAATTCATGTTTGTTTTATATGAAATATTTATATGTAAAAATAGCTTCTGACAATTAACTAAGCCTCGATATAAAAACTTCAAATGTCAATCATTATCGGGTAGTTTCAAATTAAACATCGCTCCAATTGTTCATCAAATTTTTAAAATGTTTGTACCTATTTCACTGATGAAGGCTGAAAATAAACTGAATCTATCGTGGTTATTATCGAAATACTGATAAATGTGTTAATAACTGTGAAAAAGTGGCGGTGTATGATTAATTGTGAACATTATGTCTGTAGGTCGTTTAACATTTGTTTTGTTTCCTAGAAAAATAGGCGATAAGCAAATAACGAGTTTCAAACAGGAGATGTTTAATATAGTTACTTATTATTTGACCATTCTATAAATATAGTAATGACGGAAAATTGTATTGAATTGTTTAAATATTGTTACCTTATTGAAAAGACAGAAAACCCTTTCGTGAATCAACGGATTTACCTTATTATCGTTTATTGTACATTACTATTCTTGTTACAATGACTTAAGTATCCTAAATATAAAATGTTCCTTGTAAACAGTTACTAGTCACACCAATATGAAATTATTTGTCTTTCATTTCAGAATTTTAAATGTAAAAGCACACAAAAATGTCCGCCTTCAACGTGGTGTTCGGTTGCGTAATGGCACTTCTAATAATTTTGTTTACAATTAGCTCTATGGCTAGATATTACATAAAGGTATTATGATAACTGATAATGTGGATTTACCGTTAACGTACTAATACCTATATTCTTTATTATTAAAAATAATGTTTTTCTTTTTAGTTTACACTCTTTATTGTGCTTTCATTAATATTCGCATCGGTTCCTTTGCCGCTGATGTTCTTCAGGCCCTTCAGTCCGAAGAATGCTCTGTAAGTGGGTTTCTAAATTTTTTTTGTTTTAAATCGAAGTATGTACTTAAAAGAGGTTAAAAAAATAAAGTATTTTGTAATTTTATTTTATTACAGAATACCAGCATATTTCTTGCGACTGACAGCTCGTTTCCTTGGGATCCGCTGGACGGTTCGAGGACTTGAGAACGTGGATGATTCCCGTGGCGCTGTAGTATTATTAAACCATCAGAGTAGTTTGGATCTGTATGGTAAATAAATAAAATTTTCACTAAACTATCACATAATGGCTTTTTATACATACTAGTTGTACATAAAAAACATAATTATTTTGACTTGAAACAACAGAAACATATTATCTGTAGTGGGTATTATTATTTGATGCATATGTTAATAGAAAAATAGCACTGAACTTTGTACTCCTCTTAACCTACTTGCGACTTTTTGATAACATATTTTTTTATTAGTATTGGCAGTGCTATGGCCGCTTATGGAGCGATGTACGGTGGTTGCCAAGCGTTCTCTCCAGTACTCCGTTCCCTTCGGCACAGCCACCTGGATGTGGGGTACCGTGTTTATAGATCGAGGTGCACAATCCGCCCGTTCAGTTCTCAATAAACAAACTGACGCCGTCAAATGTCATAAGGTACATAGCATTTTATTTTGGTAATCGAACAAAAACTCTTACGTGAACCTATATTTTGATTGTTTTATTTAAAGAGTGCAGTGAATTATTAAGTGATTGTAGAATGTTTACGATGAAAGTTTTGAATTAAAATATACAAAATTATTTTTTTCTTTAAACATTTTAAATGTGTTTCCACCTTTCATAATGGTTTCAATCACATAACAAAAGGGGTGTAGGAGGTAGGGGGCCTTTGTAGGAGATTTCAATAATCTAGGTAATTAAAATTGCATTAATCATTTGTTAGACATTTCTAATCAGTAGAATATTACTGTTAATAATTTTTGTACTTTGAAATTTCGACCGACGACCTACTATCATTGATTGTGGCTTGATGACACATTGTATGTGGAAAATACCACTTAGCTACAATATTCATTACATAATATAGGTATATAAAATTAATAATTGTAGTACAAGCAATTCACGAACAACTGATAAAGCAATTCCGTTATAAATCAGCATAAAAATTAAGAGTTATACAAAGCAATACGTCATTTAAACTTTAGTTGTGTATGTATATTATATTATTATTATATATATTTTTTACACGAAAATTGTCCTAATTATTCATTAGTTTTTCGAGTTACTTGTTATCGGATTCTAAACATTTAATGTAAAATATCCTATAAATCGTTAAGATATTATTTATTATTTGTTCTACATATATTAGGTATGGTCGCTATTATCTGTTGGTTTTTAAGTGAAAATCGCTCAAATATTACAGTGATCTATCGCATGTCGTATAACAACTTAGTTGTCAAGATATGTCTCGAATTAGTTTGACTATGTTACATTTTTATTGCCAAAAATTCATGTTAGTACTCCGTTATATTTCGATTCGTGTTTAAAATAAATATTGTGTAAAATTTGTAAAGTATTATGCATCACAGACCCAACTCAGAGGACAGCCTCGGAGTTTATATGTGTATTATCTACTACATAGAAGCTCTCTATGGCATATTTTTTGAAGAATTTAACATTCAGCTTAAAAAACACACAACACATTTTTATTTTGTTGTTTTTAAAGGTATCACACCCTCTTAAAATATAATGAGCAGTATACAATAATATATAAAAACAAGTACAAACTTGACGTATTTAAAATATTTAATTGTAAGCAGAGATTTTATCCTTAAAATCAATTGCTATTTATGTACCCACTAGGCGTGCCCGAAATTTCTCACTTTGTAATGCTATAAGGATTTTGACATACATTCATTATATATGTACTTTTTTATTCTATGAACTGATTAAAGGAAAACAAACAATATAGTATTAGTTCAATCTCTCCACAATGCATAAGTGAAAACCACACTCATATCGGTTTAACCGTTTCGGAGATTTGAGAAACAAAAAGACGGAGACAAAAACTTTAGCCGTAAACGTAATAATAGTTTTTCATTTTTTTCTCATATATGTATATTTCGAGTACAGACAGACAGATATTGCAACATTTTTTGTACGTGGGACACGTCTTATCAATAAACCGTGTCAATGCTAAATGAAAATGTACATACGTGTAAATATTAAAGCGAAAGTTAGGTTACATTTCATCTTCGTGTTTATGACCTATTAAAGGTTTTGCCGTTCATGCTTTTCAATTGTCATTTATAATTAATAAAAAAATAATTATAATATGTAATATAATAAAAAAATATCCACTGTGTCGTAATATTTGCGTTGTTAATCAATAAATAAGTAAATAAAAAAAAAAAGGTAATTTAACTATATAACTTATTATTTGTATAAAAGTATTGAATGGAAGTAAAAATAAAGACTTTATTTTTACTTCGGTACGGTTTTAACGCCAGTGTGTCGGCAATATTAATATAACATCACTATTAAGACAGTTACTGTACAAATATAAAGACAGTTTATTTAGATTTAAAATATTTAAATAATAACGTTTGTACTGAAGAAAAAATATCGATGTTTTGTTAGTTTTCCTGTTAACTATTTAGCATGTGTGTTATACTGTTTATATTTAAGTATAGGCAAAGTTATTGAGTTTTGTCTGTACAAACATCCTTTAACCTCGATGTATGATATTTACAAATCGTCTCTTAGAGCCATTACAATGATAAATACATTTTCTTCTTAATATTTAAACAAATGAAGTGATAATTATGTTAGAAATTTTACAGAACACTTGATAATTGAATAGATATAAATTATTCAATGACTCAAGTTCTATTTTCGTCATTAGACGAAAGTTTAATTATGTCGTTTTTATCGATAACAAATTACTTCACGGGGGTGAAGTTGAACGGTGTTGGTAATGCGTGACCATATCGTGCAATTGTTTGTTTTATTCCATTAAAAGCGTAAACATCTCGTTTGTTTACTATTGAAATATGATGACATCAGTTAGGACTGAACTTTAGATTAACATTCCGTAATTATTACATACCCACACATATCTAAATCGTATACTTAAAGTGCGTACAAAATTACATGAAATGTTTTTTTTTTATTTTTACGCAAAACGATCTTTTCATTTTTTATATAATAATCATCTCTCTAATGTAATTAAAAACGAAGAAATGATATTGCACACTGTAGATCAAAGAACAATTGGAGTGATAACTGTTGTCTGTTAATCATATGTCTTTGCATTCAGCAGGGAAAATAAGAATGAAAACAATGAACAATATCGGTAGATACGTTAAAACTACTAATTATAAGTACCTAGTCAATAAGATATCAAAGTCAACTATTCTCAATGCGTTAGAAAATTTTATAACGTTAATACTGTTACCTAACGATTGTCCATGGTTGCTCTAATGTGATCCGTAATTTTAAGCAATGAAGGAGTCGCGTTATTGTAATTTGTCGTATTTTATATTGTCGTAAGGGAATTGATAAAGAAAAGGATCATTTTACGACTGATACTGTCAAAATCAAAAGAATAACAAGTAGTAGGTAATTAAAATATGCTGTTTTACATCTATTTCGGTGAAATTATTAAAATGAACTTCGAAATAGACATTTTGATGTTGAACAATTTTGATAAAAAAAATAATAATTTAGGTCACGGAAATTAGTATCTTGGTAATTTTTGCCAACACCCAAGAATTAAGAAAAACCCATATATTACCTAGGTACTGGATATTTAAGACCATAATTTTATTGATTCAGAAATATTTCGTCGTCATGTATCGATATAGATATGATTACAACAATTACGAAACTCAGTATATTTTTGGCTTTTCAGTTCATTAAATTCTGTAAAAGCAAAACTTTTGTTTTCTTTCGGGCTTCTTGGGATTCTTAATGGACGGCGTTTACTATAGAATTGGAACATTCTTGATCCGGATAGAATAAAAAGTTTGGATATTCGCCGTAGAGGTCAATGAGTTGACTATTAAGAGTACTGACCTAATTGTCTTTAATTGAATCTATTTTTTTGGTGTTCGAGTTTAAGATCTTCATAACCATATCACTATAATTACGTTGACGTATGATTCTTCATTTTGATTGGGGGTGGGGGGAGGAGCGGAGTTTTTTTATGGAATAAGAAAATGAGAACATGAATAGAGTGTTTAAGTCAAGATCTTATTGAATTCTCTTCTCAATCGTGATTTTCGTTGTCAACTCTCTAGTAATTCTATTTGTAAGGCTACTTTGTGCCATCTTAGAAAATATTATGTTCCTATACATAGACGTTAATACAAAATCTTATTGATTATTTTTCTTAATCAATAAAATATAGAAAAACATCTTCTTGCTCGTAAGCCAACGCCTGTTATATTTTTTATTCATATTTTAAATCTTGAGCAATGATATTTCCTTCGTCTCAGTTGCGAAAAGTATTTATAAGAAAACGTAGGAAGACGCTACTGTTTCCCTGTTATTATCTAGATAACAAGTTTAGAATGTGATAATTTGCTCGGCCTTTGTTTCCCACCTTGAAAAGGATGAAGTCATCCTTAGACTTTAAACTCAAAATAGATTCAATAACGTAAACTTGGGTATGATGAGTAAATTGGTGTAATGGTTATTTAATTACTTGTTTAATACTGTATTGTTTTAACTGTAATTGCAAATATTAGCGTCATATATAGTTTTTCTTATACTTCAAAAACATGTTTATTTCTTGTTACAAAAAAATATTGCTTTGATAGTACTTTAAAGGGTGTAAAGGTTTCTGAATAAAGACTTCTTCAAATTACATATTTAATATGAAGATCTGTATGAGAGTGTCATTAACATTTTAATGGTTTGCTAGTTTCGTGGAAACGATATGAATTAGTATTTATCGCGACGTTTCTTAGACTTAAAAGTGAAGTATACTTCTGTGAACTATTAATAAACCATGCGAAACTAAGATAACAGTTCCTCGGTAATTCAATTTTCATTAATAAAACTGAAAAATGTAACTAACTTCACTGTATTGACCATAAATAAACCCAACAGGCTTTTACTTACCTTGAGGATTAATAAACGCCCATATTTAATATTAGTCATATTAGTCACTTAGGTACATCGTTATAAAAGTAGTTTCTATTTTATATACCTAACTTGCCACAAAAGATTCTTTGCCTCTGTTCTCGTAATGATGTGGGTTTTAATCAAACGATATGCTTATATTATAATTTTCTATTTGTCAATTGTAGAAGTTCTTAGAAAATTCATACAGTAATTTTCGTGAAAGTAAAGATTATCATTATCATCATACATTGAGGAACATTAATCATTATTTTTAATATAAACTCTTCGATGGTTCCATATTTCTAATGTTAATAGTTTTGGGATAACTTGTTGAAAATTAACTAAAGGACATATTAAGTGTCTTATATCTTATACTGTTTGCTCTACTTTAACCGACAGGTCCCGATAACTGGATTTATGTAATATTCTGTTGTGATACCGGTACATTATCTTTAATAGATCAATATTTCACATAAACTTTATGCGACTATTTGTTTATCAAATGTTATTCGCTGATAGCGATGTTAAATTTATAATATAGAACAATTACGTCATGAAATTAAATATACTTATACCATAAATAACAGTATTAATGGAATAAATATTTTTCATTGTTTAATTAAGTCGGTTCGTTAATTTTTTTTTATTATTGTAAAATATTTCTGCGTTGTGATCGAATTTTTGAGCCCATAAAACAATATTTTGAAGGTATATATTTGTAAGCCGAATTTGAAATGTGTGGTGGTTTAATAAGAAAATGTTAAGGTATTATAGTTCTTATTCTAAATAGTTTTGCCGTAATGTTTCAGCGGAAATTATTATTATTTCCCGAGGGTACGCGGCACGGAGGTGACAAGCTTCTGCCCTTCAGGAAAGGAGCGTTCCACGTGGCTTTGAATGCAGAGGCACCGATCCAGCCGATCGTTGTATCGAAATATCATTTCTTGGATTCCAAACGCCATCGATTTGGTTCAGGTATTTTATCTCTATTATATTGATTATCCATTTGGATTGTGGTTGTTATGTGTCAAAAGTCTCTTATCAGCCTTTGTTTGATGTGAATCTACAATTATTAATTAGCTTATATATTTATTGTCTTGTAAAATCAAGTAATCTATTTCTAAAATCTTTTTTAATTAGATACTTAATTTTTTTTACGAAAACTAGCAGACATTGTTATTGACCGTTAAGGTTTTAAAGAAACGACAGTAAATAAAACTTTAAGTACAGTCAAGTAAAGACGATTTTGGTAAAGAATTATGTTAATATAAAATCAACGTTGAGCATTATCTATATATATATATAAATAAGAAAATATATAAAATTAGAAAATTATTAATTAAGCTGTCATGACACGTTAGCTAAATTGCGAAAGCAACTGCAACGCAATATTCCTGAGGTTGCAGATTCGAATACTGATCGCGTCAATGAACTCTTAATTCTATATGTATTCTAATTAAAATAAAAAAAATCTTACAAATAATTCCAGAGGTCTTAAATCTTAATGTAATTTAATAACAAACAAAAAATCAAACTCTTTCATCTTCTATCTTCTATATATATAAAAATGGATTGCTGTTCCTTAGTCTCGCTAAAACTCGAGAACAGCTGAATGGATTTGTCTTATCTTAGTCTTGAAATGTTCGTGGAGGTTCAGGGAAGGTATAAAAGGTGAGAAAAATTGGAATAATTGCCGGGAAAACCCTAAAAACAGCCCTTTTCTATTTCCCATACAAACGCTTTTTTTGACATTAGATTTGACAACTAACTAATATGTCAATCATTCTGTTTGATTGAAACAGGAAAAACGTGATTATTTATGGCCTCTAAGACGGAATAGAGTTCGCCTGGTCAGCCATACATATATTACTAATGACGAAACTAACGCGGACGAAGTCGCGGGCAAAAACTAGTTTTTATTATAAATTTGTATTATATTGTACATGCTTTTAATTTCAAATTTGGTTAAAACTGATTTTTTTATGATTCAGAACTTTTTATAATATAGTTTCATATTAAGTATCCTAAAATACAATTCAATGTAAATTATTACTACCGATAGACTGTAATATAAAATATAACATTATTATACAGGGTGACTGGTGAATTACTATCGATATTTGAGGACGTGATTTGTGACGATCATATATGACAAAATAAAAATTAATATAACATAAATATTAATAAACTTCTAAGTAAAGTTAACCAAAAGTTATGTAATTAATTACGCATCGTGTAAACACCCTACAGATTAGGTATACACCCACACTCACACATACGAGTGCGACGGCGTAGTGTTGTATCAGCACGCCGCCGCACGCGTCCACACTTGGAACACTTGGAACGTGTCAACACTTTATTTATTTATACGGAAATTTTGTCAAAAATTAAGTACCTATTTTTTTTACATAATTAGAATGAGAATCATGTACCGAGTATCCTCCTTAAATATTGATAGTAATTCACCAGTCACCCTGTATATTTAACAGAGACTTTCACGAATACATATTTAAATCTTACTAAAGTTGTGAAAACGAAAATGGGTGTTGCGTTTATGGATGGTGTATAGGTGTATGAACGTGTTGATTTATGGATAAATGGGGTTTAGGTGTATGGCTTTATGTATGTTGCATGACGTTTCACACAAAACTTCTTGTCGGATTTCGATTGAATTTTACAGTAATGTCGTTTAGACATTAGAATAAAACATAGGATATAATTTTTATCCTAGAATTCTGTGTGGTTTTCGCAGAATCATGTTATAAAATTTGTATTGCGTTTGAAGTTTCGTGATAAAGGCGAGAGATGTCGCTGCCTGTTGATTGTCATGTCTTTTGTTTAGTGAACTATGTAAAGTTCTCTCAGAATCCACTTGTGGAGTCTACGGAGACGAAGTCGAGAGAAAAAACTATAGATTACACATTCACATACTTTTCTTTTCTCCGTTTCGACTTCATAAAAGAATAATAGGTACAGAGTACAAGAGCACTCGCAACATTTATGGTCTAACAATCACGTTATTAGGTTTATGAACGCGTTTACAGTAATTTTGCAAATCTAGCTTATATTAATAGTGTACAGTAATGATAGCAATTTAAATAATGCACTATTTCAAGTAATTTTCTATAGTAATAACTACTTATGAGCAGAACAGCGCTTTGTTATACACAGGGAGTTCAAGGTAAAAGTTAGTCGAGATTATAAATTCTTGATTGATATCATTACATACAATACACAAGAATAGGGCCCTGGAAAATTCTTTTATGCACTGTCGAGATTAGGTACTCTGATCTCCAGAGATGGTTAAATCTTATAAAATTCGAAATTATTACTCAATGTGATATTAACTAAGACATATTTTATAATTCCTTTATTCCTAAATTATATTGATTACACAATTTTAATCACGGCGCTGTTTAATCTTTACGTTAATCGGTTATTGATGAATTGAACGGCACAGGTGTCAGGTGATTAGTTTCTGTTATGTAGTTACTATATTAATATATATGAGGGAGAGTACCTAATGTAGATGATATGATATTTTTAATTTTTTACGTTAAGGAATGTAAGATTTTATTTCAGTCAGCTTTATGGATATAGTTATCCATAAAGCTGACGAAAAATATCTTTAACTACACTGTTTTTATTTTGCTAGTGTTAGTATCAATGAATAAGGCATAAAAATAAGGAAAAATATATAGTCTTCAAATATTTAGTAATAGAAAACATATTTAGTCAAAAATTTTACTTTTTTAAAAGCGATTCTTGTATAAAAAGATTTTCACGATGGTAGATCCAACGAAGTATCAGTTAGCTCAAAGATGTTATAATTGTTTTACGTTTGGGGGCGTGGGGCAAGTGGGGCGTGTAGTAGAAGTAGTTTTGTAGGTGGAAGAGCCTAGCTGTAGTCAATTTACTACAGCTCAAATATTGGCTGGCTCGCCCGGGGAAGTACCATCCTTTCACAGAAGATCGGCGTGAAGAAGCCTTTAGTGGCTGCGTTTCGTCAAATAAGTGAGAAAGCCGGTTGCTTTTTCCCTATTCCCTCCCTTTTCTACTATTTCTCTATTCCCACCCCTCCCTTTTCCTCAACAATTAAGGTTGGCAAAGCATCCGTAACATCTATGTTGCGGATGTCCATGGGCGACGGTCACTACTGCCCATCTAATAGGCCGTCTGCTCGTTTGCAACTTTTGACATAAAAAAAGTAAAATTGATCCAATAAGGTTTGATTCCTTTTATAATTGTGGCTTTTTAAATAACGAGAAATTTAGGTACCTCGGTTACTCAATGAAGAGGCATAACAATAATAAAGTCGATTGAGATTTTCTATTAAAACGCATTATTGTTACCGCATTATTTTTGAATAGATTCATCAATACAGGTGAGAAATGTGTCACGATAAATATATTCGAAAAACGTCTTGGTTAAAGGGGTATTGTACAGGAACCTGAACATTTTTAGGGGAACCTGTCCTGTTAAGTAATAGGGTTAAACTTATCACGTCAAGCAAATCTGTTTTTCTTAGAACTAATGGCGTTCAAGCAAAAATGACTTAAATTTATCAACAAAATAGGAATGCTTTTTCAAGTGACTACACCAAACCATACAGCTTTGGTTTCTCAACAAATATTTAGTTTTTTTTTGAATCTATATTGCTGTTTTAGCCCCGTGGTTTTGACATCGTCATTGAGAGTTAAATATTTAGAGAACTCGTTTACGGTTTAGGATGTGTTTGGGATCTTTTATACATTCCTGACCTTCAACTGTCAGTTTTGTCCTGTGACTTGAATTTCTTTTTTGGCTTTTGTTAGATTGACATTCACGCTTTTAAATTTATTTGCTAAATCAAAAACATGAGATTTTATAGTAATGAAATTATTTCATAATTTCACAGACTTACAATATGATGTCGAACAAATTTAAACGTTAAAAAAACTTGAATTCGTATATTAACTATGAAGGAATTTCTCAACCTAAATAATAATTAATAGTACTATATCAACAAGAATTCTATGTAGGTCTGTTAGATCAATAAAAAACATGAGCAGTGAAATTTTTTGTTCCACTGGTGTGTGTGGGTTGAAAAAATTAAAGTTATAAAAATGATTTCGTTTACCCTTTAAATAAACGATATATGTAACTATTTTCTGTTTTATCTACTATTTTTGAAAAGATTTGGAAAAATTAAGATCTTTTTATTTTCTTTGTGTACTAGAAATTATATATGTACATACTTATTTATTTTTATTCTTGAACAAGTGATCCCATTGAATTTAAAAAAGATTTAAGATTTAACAATAGTCAAACAGTGAAGTGTTGCTGGGCACGATAATTATATTTAAGAAACTTATTAGTTATGATTTTTTTCCAGGTGAAATTATAATAACGATTCTGCCGCTGATAGAAACGAAGGGTCTGACCAAGGATGACATCGATGCTTTAGTGGAGACGACTCAAACTAAAATGCAAGAGGAATTTACAAACACGTCAGCTGAGACGTATTCGAGGCTCTCTCTTAAGAGTAATTGAAAGGTACCTTACTTATATTTTTGTTACTGGGATGATTGAGTAGTGGGGGGAATTAAGATATTTTTTATTATATTTAAGTCCTGGTTTAGACAAAAGTATTGTTGATGACAGTCAACAAAGTTAAGTTTGATTTATATTGACATTTCGCTGTTTTTCGAATTTCATTAAAATGGTAGCAATGTCAAAAAATATCAATATCTCGTTAATATTTTTCAGTACAATTCCGTTGCTAGCTATAAATAACTTTTTTAATTTCTTGCTTTATTTCAATTGTGTATTGTAATATTATCGTATATTTAATTTTATTGTGGTTGATATAATTCTAACGATAAATTGTTCCAGGTAGTTGTAAAATTTAACGGGGCTGTGATAATGTTCGTGGTACTAAAATAGAAATATTTGTTGTAATCCATGTACACATTTAATATACAAATAAATTATTATTATTATAATACTTTTGTATTCATTAAATGATAACGCCATTTTTTTGTACATAAACATTTAATAAGGTTCTCCACATATAATAAAATATATGAAAAAATATTCACCGATCTGATATTACATACACGATATATAAGTATAGACAAAGACATCACAATATTTTAAAAAAGCATAATATTAAGATTACAAGAATATAATGAAATAAAACTACTGAATATACACTACAAGTCTTACATCAATACTGTCATAACTAATAAGATATAATATAGGTGTCGCTAGTTTGAATGAACTATTGCAACATGAACACATTTTCATACAAAAAGTACATTGAATTCATCTTATGACGTCATACTTTATATCAAAGGATTGCTGCTTTGTATCCGTATGTGTGATACTAAATGCATTCGATTCTTAATTTAAAAAATACATTATTAATACATTTTTGGATGTAAAATTAAGATCAACGCCTATTTTTAATCATCTCAAAAAAATATTATGAGAATGTTTTTAATCTGTATGTTTTATACGAACAAATATATTATATATAGTAGTCTATTGGATATAAGATGACGTTGATGATCTCGGTTAAGACTTATCCTAGGTAGATCACACAAATATAGCATATATACTATCAATCTGCCTAAAATACATTTTGGTTATATCAATAAATGTTCATATTTTGATACACAGACTAATAAAACATTAAAGAACATCTATATAATATTGTTATATAATTTTTTCTAGAAAATTCTTGGAAGTTTAACATTTCATACATGAGATGTAAGCAATTTAATTTGAAGAAATATTCAAAATATTGTTTAAAACGATTGAATTAGTCCAATATTAAAAGACCTCATACAGTTAGTGAATGAAACATCCAATTTTTTCCATTTTTCCAACATTGTCCCTCAGACTCGAAGTCTTACTGAATCTGAATTATATTTTTTAGTAAAATATACAATTTAATTTATATTTAAAACTTTCTTTATAAAGTGGTCTATGTTTTATAGAATACATTATGATCCTTTTGAATTATTTGCTGATTGACATGCCAATACATTGAGTTACTCAAGTTAGACTAGAAAAATTGAAATTAGAAATCATTTTTTTTCAATCAGTTGTTTCAAATTAAACAACTTATAATATTTTGATGATAAAACCGTCACAGCTAGTTAAATTAATCTTAAAGAGTATTAAATACAGAGTACATATATAGTTAATGACATATTTTCCAGTAAATATCTTACGTTTTTGAGAATCATATGCTTTAAAATCTTAATAATTTTCTAATATACCGATCTTACAAATAATATTACCATTCCAAGATATACGAAAATATTAAAAAATACAATACTAACATACAAGACAATACTGGGCCCTCTTTGGCAACATACATATATATCACTAAATAAATGTTTAGAACTTTTCTCATATACATATGACTATAAAAACGGCAATTATTAGAGACCATTCACGAAATGTTCATTTTCATGCCATATAAAAAGTAAAGTCAATAAAATAAATTGTCTGTGGTCACAAAAATAAAATGTATAACCATTTATAATAGAATAAATATTCTCATTATAAATTTAATATTATTTGCATGTTTGCCGGATAGATAATAAAAATCCAGATCCATAAATACGTCGTTAAGTATAGAGGTAATGGGCAACAAAAAGTTTTTATACATCACTATGATGTGCTTGAATATGTTATGATTTAAAATTATATTGTTTCTTAAACATCAATCAATGTTAATAATGTTAGGTAAATAAATTAAGATCATTTAAATATTCAGAAATGTAGTACAAGTGATTCAACAATAGAGGTCACCACTGTACAAGTTTAGTTCGGTACAATAGCAATGAGTGTCAACATCAAAACACATTTCACAATACATTGTTCTTGAACGGTTTTACAATAAAACACAAAGTATATCACATAAAAGTAAAAAAAATAAATCACGTTTTTCCTTACAAATCATTAGTAATTATTCCACAGCCCAATTACTTTCGAAATACTGATGGGTACATGATGTAAAAAAATTAGTATTCAGTGCACCTTTCACTTAGAACTCATTGCATTGTGCAATTGATTACTTTCTAAGATCCGGTGAATTATGTTAGTTTAAACATTTATATTGGAATACAAACACTACATATTAATAAAGTCAGTATCAAATTTTTAAAAATAGAACACATTTATTTCTAACATCAATTGTTAAAATAAGTTTGAATATTAAAGGACTAGTTTTAAAATGAAATCTAAATTATTTCTTATTTTTTTATCACAGTTTTTAATATTTTTGTTTATGTTTCCCACTATAATATAAATGGGTCGTTAAAAATCTTCTATATAAGTTATATTTTCGAAAAGTAACAATTTTAAAGTGATACTAATAAATGAATTAATGTTTTATAAAATTCACCTTACAAGATCCACACTCACAGAATATTGAAATAAATTTTTAACACTTTTACAAATAAGACATGAATATGAAGCATACATTACATACATACTTAAGTCTAGGTATTTATAATCCATATATAGATCAACTAAACAACACCATCTGGTGTTCAAAGATGAACTTAAATAGAATATTCTAATTATATAGTTGAATATAATAAAAAAAACAAAAGACAAGTAAATTTGTATTACAATAATTAACCTACAATAATCACATTACTATAAAAATTACAAAACACATATAAATGGCAATAAAAAGTGCACTTATACAGAAGTAACTGATAGATAAGGTCTACTACACACTCATTGAAACTTCATACTATCATAATAAAAAATTCAGTCCTGACCAACTAAAGGATAATTAGGCGGCAATAAACTCAAGACTTCTTTTGATAGCTCCTTATAAGCAAGTTCCATTATATTTTGGACTCTATCTTTGAGTTGTGGCACATCATCCATCGTCAAACCCGTTGTTGGTATTGGTTCTAAGCACTGCATGATAACATGACCTAGAAATATAATGTCTTTGTTACAAAAAATGCTCTTAAATGTATGTTAAAAAAGCAGCAAATGATAAAAACAGTTGTGTGATTAGCAGGAGGTTAATGAGCTCTATAATATTTAATGTTTGTATAAAACATTAGTGAATGACAGCAAACTTGAAGGGTAATTAAGTTTTTAATAGAAACGGTATTTCAATGTAAAGTGTATGTATTACTTTACCATTACTTTTTTTTATTTAAGTTAATTATCTTATAATACTTCTAAGTAATTAGAATACATTGCGGTCGACTATAGAAAATAATAGTGAATTTTTGTATCAAAGTTTTCTTAGATCAAATTAAACTAATAATTACTTACCTTTATTAAAAATATATTTCTTTGTATTAATGAAGTAGTATGGAGATATGATGACTGGTATAATAGGTACTTGTGCGGCCACAGCTATATTAAATGCTCCCTTCTTAAAAGGTAACAAAGATGTAAAATTTTTATTCCGCGTTCCTTCAGGAAATAACCAGATTTTTGTCTGTAAAAATAAAGATGATATTTTTATATTTAAAATAACATTTTAATAAATATTTTTTGTTGAGTAAATAATAATATGTAGGTATTTGAATTTTCATGTGTAATTTAGTGTTTATGATAAATTATTAGCTATGGGTAATTAAATTCATGATTTACTAAATGTAAATAAATTAGCATAAAACATTTATCTGGCCATCCTGCATTTAAATCATTATAACTGCTTACTGTTAAATTTGTACAACAATTTTATCTAATTAATATTTATAATTTATGATCATCAGATATAATTTAAACCATTTTAATTCAGAAAAGAAATATATAAAAGCTTTTTGTTATAATTTCTAGAGAATTCATAGGTTTTTTCTTAATTTGATGTTGCTAACTTAATTAGTATGCAAGTGTATGAGACTAGAATTAAATACTCTCATAGCATACTCTATAGTCTCATAGTCAATAAAAACTATATTTAAAAATCGCCTTCCTAGCAATTTCCGAGCTTTAATCAGGGTCTGCCTTACATGTTATAAATAGTTTGGGCTAATTGTTTTCACGACAGGCTGCCTACCTGGCATCAACCCTCTTTGGGAACTGGGAAAAACTATATTTAAAAATACCAATATATAATCATTACCACTTCTTTAGAAAATTATTTTGTCCGAGTATAGTATGCATTCTAGAGAAGTAACTTATTCACCTTATTCTTGATCATGACCTCCGAGGTGGCCTTAAGTGTTTTGTATGCATCTTTTGAATTATTCCTATCAATGAACACAACCCCAGCGAGGTATGCTGCTAAACCAAACGGCCATACATAGAACAGTTCTTTCCTTGCTACAGCCGCTATTTTAACAGCTACATGCCATACATTAAACATACCTGAAAATTAAAGCACAGTTAAAATATAGGTGTTGTTTTTTCTATTATGTTTCTGTGGTAATTAATATATATTTTTTATTGTTCTATGTATAAACGACTTAAAAAGCAAACTACAAGTGTAACTATTTCCTTATTGAGATTTTATATATGAATATTTTATGACTATTACTATTTCAATAATATATCTATAATTTTTTAAATTATTCAATAAATGACAAGATATTGTGTACAGCACTAAATAATGTATATAGAGATAATTGTACTCTTAATATTAAATATCTAAATTATATGAGCTGGATTTTTTAAGTCTTACCCAGTATATCTATAGATGATTGATGATTTGATATAATTACAGCTCCTCTGTCCTCAGAAAGAACTTTGCCATTTCTTAAATGCCACTTTACCTCTATTAATTTTGTTACATGCTTTATTATTTGGGACCCAAAACTGAAAAATTAATGATATTTTTTCTCTAGCTTGTTTAACAAAGTATAAATAAGATAAATAACGTATACTTACAGTGAGTTCTTGACATTTTTAGGAGTAAACACAAAAAATGGCATCAAGAACAAAGCAACAATTGAAGCCCAAATATAAAATACTAAAAATTTTGACTGAAACTTGACATAGTTTGGTGTTTCAGAAAAGAGTTGCTTTAATATATATGTTGCAACTGTTATCATAAAAACGTATATAATTTTATCCCACATTTTAATAGGATACTTATATTTCAATCAATAAATTACAGTAATTTGATATAGCTATGAGTCAGTTAACAGCAAAACTGCATAGTTGAAATATGATTTAAGGTTGCCGAAAAATTTATTGTTTATTTTTTTCTATACCTATATTGGAAATTTTATTTACTCTTTCACCAAAGTATCGAATTAAACAACACTATATATTCAGGTTGTTATATAAAAGTATTAATCAAATATTGATTAAATAATCTTCATAAAAAGGCGGAATTAAAAAGTAAATACATCGTCAAAACCCGGTTTGAACCTGTTATTTGTTTGAACACTACTGAACTCAATACTATGTAGATTGTTAATTTTAAAATACAAAGACAATACTTCTTGACAGCGACAAGCGTAACAACGCAGATTAAAATATATACTGGTACGTACGATTGCCTATTTTAACTTATACTCGAATATAGAATAAAGCAGTTCACCTTCAGTAAGTTTTAAGAGTATAAACATTAAAGTAATTATATATGAATAATTAAAACACTGATTTACTTATTCTTTGCAAATTTCTTTTTTTTTTCAAACTTAAATTCCACACCTCAAAAGCGTTTCAAATAAGCTTTTGAAAGACAGATTTTGTGTAAAAATGTAAGATGTTTTAAAATATGAAACATATTAAATATGCAACACATTACATAGATAATTAAAAATATTTTATATGAAATAAAAATTTAGTATCAAAAATATCCGATTCTATTTAATGAAAAAATGTTTACATGTAATTTTGGAAGTACATAGTAGAGAAGGAGCTAGAAGTTAAACAATTTTAAGTGACATTGACGAGGTGACGTACATTATTTCTTATATCACCACTAGCTGGCGCTAGCACCCGGATATCCTTCTGATAATATTGTTGGAATTAAACTTATACTGTAGAAAATATTAACTTTTATATGAATAAATATATATTAACTTTTTATTTTAATATAATTCTTTTGAATAATTTTATAATTCGCCTTTAGAAAACAAAAACCCTTTTATAGTACGGAACTATGTTTGTGATGACTATTTTTTCTGAAAAACTTTTAGACAAATTATAAAAGCTATCTGCAATAGCTTAAGAACAGGCACGAGTATCAACTTAAAACTTTAAATTATAATTACGAAATTTAAAAAAAATAAATGAGCAACGTTGAAATTTGGTAAAAGTCACATAAATAATCTGAAAAAATTTCAGACAAAAATCACAAAATAGCAATACCACAATTCTCAGACTATCTGGTTGTACCTACCCAGAATACTATCCTTATTAACTGCAATTACATATTCATAATTTTGGTTTTGAATATTCGTAGAAAAGGAACAGTTATTTTAATACGCTTTCATAAATCAAGCATAGATTATATTTTTGAAAATAAAATTATATAGGAAGATATAAAATGAGTTGGGAGAGTATAGTTATTTTTGTCAAAAGAATCACAAGAATAAACCGATTCAAGACGAGAATATTAAGAATCAGTTAGATTCTTGTTCACAATTTACTTTAGAATTTGGATCAGTGCAAATTTAATTTTGAACGATAATTGCCTTTCACACTTGGCTTTTCTTGAACGACGATGGAGTTGACATATTATTTGACTGAAATACTTCAATTGATACAATTATTGACCTTGACGGATATTACAACTAAAATCATACATATTTAATTCTTTGAAAATAATCAAGAAGTCGACTAAGATTTTAACCTAACATAATAGGCTTGAATTGCCTGTAACCGGTGAATAGATGAAGTATACGAAATTATCTAATTATTTTTTTACTTATGATTATTCTGGGTTCAACACTTCAAGTTAGATGAACAAAAATGTCATAAATTCCTTAGTCTTTGCAAACGCAAAAAGGGTTCATTACAAAATGAAATAGGAGTGCTAAGGTGTGATAAAACATTTACTAATTCTAGCAGAAATTAAAAAAAAAACTCTTCTTAATTAAACAGCACGTTGATACAGATCGTACAAAGGTTTTAGAAGCGGTATTCAATCTAGGACATTGTTTAGACCGGGAGATGTTTTTACGTTGAAGATAAAACCAGAAGGTTCTGTGCTGGTGTTAAAACTTTTTCACAAAACATATTGTGAACATTATAATATTGCTAAATTAAATATTATTTATATAGAAAAATTGTAATGCCAAGTCCAAAAAATAAAATGATATAAAAATTTTCATACGTATATTTTTTAATACGACATCAATCATGATTATAACATTAAATACTTAAAAAAAAGATTGTCATGTAAAAATATCATTTACATATAAATAGTGTTCATAATGTATAGTTTTTATAATATCACTAAGTAAGGGATTATAAAATATTGATAAAATCACATATCAAATATTTAAATAAATCCTTATTTACCTTACATATCTAAGACTCATTTAATACTACATATTAACTATTGGGTGTGGATAGTCTGAAGGTAGAGAGCTAACGATTTCCTTTGTAAGTTCTTTGTATGTCTTTTCCATTTGACTGTGAACACGACTGATAAGTTCTGGCACGTCATCCGCTGTCAATCCTTCAGTGGACACGGGCTCCAGGCATTGTATTACTACATGGCCTGCAGGTTTAAAACAATATAAAAATTATAATACCAAAAACTCAGATTCCTACACTAATAGTCCATTTTGAAGAATCTATAAATGTTTATTATAAAACTTATCAAGTATATAAAATACAAACAATGCAAAGGCTGCCGAGATATTAGTGGGTAATATATTAAAAGGGAAAATGGTACTTTGTGATAATGACGTAACCAAATATATGTAAGATAAATGAATAACTTTATGGATTACTAACTACAATGACATTGGTCTCCAAGGTTGAAACATTAATATCAGTTGTATAATAAACTACGTTAAAATTGTTAGTAACCTTACAGATAAAAGTAAAGTTTAAGGAAGGAATCATATAGTTATCAAAACCGATACTATTATAGGTAATATTATTGATCTACAATAAAATCGAGGTAGTTAATTACATTCCCTTCAATCACAATTTTAGATAACTGATAACGGTTCAATGGATAGAAAAATATCAGGTATAAACTGATAACATATCTCCTAAGAATATTTTTAGCTAATCTAAGATAATAAGCGTTAGTATAAAAATATAATTTACGCTTACGTTTATGACTTTAAAAACATGAAAAGGTAACTTTAAGTATTTGTTTATAGTGTGTTTGGATTGATTTATTGTTAATTTATTAAATAACTAATCAATATATTAAATATCGTTGCACAATATTATTTAAAGTCATAACTGTCCAAAGAATAATATAAAAATAATACAAACCTTTGTTGAATATATATTTCTTCTCATTAATAAAATAATAAGGAGAAAAAACTACTGGTATTATGGGTTTCTGAGCGGCAACCGCAATTGCGAAGGCTCCCTTTTTAAAAGGTAACATTTTGTCGTAGCATTTATTTCTTGTTCCTTCAGGAAATAACCAAAGTTTCGTCTACAAAATAAACGAAACTATGAAATAATGCTTTCCTAACTGGTATTTTTTGAAATATTCAGAATAAGATGTTGTTAATTTTGTATTATTAATTATTATAAAATGGTAATTAGAGATTTTTTTCATTGAAATCATTATTCAGTGGCTGAATAAAAATTCAAAATTAGTTGCTATAAAAACGGTATGCGCATTTTATAAATAGCACCTACAAGATTAAAACCGCTAACCCTGGGTGTAATCCGTGTAATTAATGTTATTACATACCTTATTTTTAACCATAACCTCAGTTGTTTTTTGTAGTGTTTTATAAGCACCTTTTGAATTTCTTCTATCAATAAACACGACACCAGCAAGATAAGCCGCTAATCCAAAAGGCCAAACATAAAATAGCTCCTTTTTAGCCACAGGGGCCAAATTGCCTATAATATTCCAAATGTTGAACATGCCTGAAAATCGGACATTAAAAGTATTTGAATTTTTGATTTTTCTATGGTATCTTTTCTTGTGTTTTTGACATAGGTGTATTTTTTCAAATATTAAAATAGTATAACCGTTATAAATTTTTTAACTAAGCCGAGTAGTAAATTAAAACTTGGTTTCGAATTTATTTTAAAAGAATTTCATTATCAATTTTTTAAAACGTAAACGTAATTTTTAAATTTAATTTCTTTTCCTTCATGATAAAATTTTAATGTTGTATAGTTTTATAAGCAAATAAATATTAATGTCTAAAGTGACAGTAATAATTTGAAAACTTTTTAATAAAACACTAGTAAGTTTTAACGACTACAAATTATTTTGACGTAAATCATTGTTATGTTACATCATACCTAGAACATCCAAAGACGATTGGTGATTAGAAACAATAACGGCGCCTCTATCCTCAGCCAAAATGTCGCCATTACGCAGTTGCCATTGCAAGTCATATATTTTTGTTACGTGTTTTAAAAGATTTGCTCCAAATCTAAAAATAAAATAAAACTCCCATGAAAAAATATTATTAAAATTCAATAATTTTATTATATCGTTTACAAATCTTTGGTTTTAGTAACAATGTGTATCATAAATCTTCGTGTAACTTATTCGTCTTTAATGATTCTTTGATTATCTTTTGCGTGATACATTAATAATACAGATACTGTATGATGAACGCTTTATTTTCCGGTTTGGGAAAGCCTCATACCACACGGAGCGCAGGCAACATACTCGTTATAGCGTCAAAGTCTGAAATACGCCGAAATAATCTAGTGGACTTTATCAAATTTATCAATTCAAATAACATTGTTTTATCAGATTCGTATTGTACATATTTTCTTACACGTACAATACAAAAACAATACCCGATAGAGTCGCGTTTGACCGTTTCATATCTCTTTCTTTCTTTCTCCTCTAAATCGAATTGTTATATGAATAAACCAGAAGTACTGGTTATGAAAATAACATGAGAAATAGTAACAAGACATCCATACAGATGGCCATTAAACATTATATGTTTTAGTGTTAATGCTAATGAGCAATCTAGTCCATAATATATGTTTAATATCCTAATAGATTGTTACGCTTGGCGAATTAGACAGCGTCTTTTGTTACTAAAGTACTGTGGTTTACTTCAAATTGTAATAATTCGCCATTTATTATTATTTTTCTCAAGGATTTTATTATTTTAGTTGTTATGGATCCTTATCAAATGGACCTGGCTATCGGTTTTAATGATATCAATTTTTATAGAAGATAAGAAGTAAAAAAATTCAAATGGTTTATGCGTAGATACTTGTTAAGGTAATTATATGAGCTTGGCCAATTTGTTACATATATGATAGTTGTATTCAAGAATAAAATAAATTTGCGCTGAATGTTAATTTTTAATCACTCATATGAATAATATAAAATCTTTAAATTTACAATGACCCAGCACTTCAATATTTATTGTAATGCTTGTAAAGATATAGTAGTATGTTTGAATGATAATAATTTTAAACAGTAATTCTAATACTCAATATACTTTTCATACATTATAGATTTTTCATATCGCGTTAAATATAATATTTACTTTTTTCAGATGAAATTTTTATTGTTATTTCATGTTCCTGCTGCCTTTTTTCTACATATGTATGTAAAATATCATGTTAAACTATTTCGTACTAAAAACATAAAGAAAACATACAAAATACACAAACTATCTTTCTGATAAATAATATTAGTGAAAATTTTTGAAAACGGAGCGCAATGATTGTACCTACAGTGATTATTGAATTTGATAAGTTCATTAATAACAGGATTAGAGCAATGATAGTGAAAAGCCGTACCACCCACAGGACTAAGGTCACTTCCCGTTTAAGGAGTTCCCTTAAATTATTATATTTACTTTTAAAACGTACTTTTATGTCATTTTACAATCTATATATAAAATCTTTCTAAAAGAAATAAAATCATTCAATATTTTTGACAAAAAAAATTCGTCTTCATTGTCATAATTTGTGCTAAATAAAAAGTAACTTACTGTGCATTTTTTACACTTTTAGGCTTAAATAAGAAGAAGGGCCACACAATGCACGACAAAGATATCCCGTAGATGTAGAAAATAAAATAGTAGCTATAAAATTTGATTTTATTAGGTTCCCTTTTAGTTAGTTTCTTTGATATATAAGTCAACACAATCACAACAATAACAAGAAACACCTTCTCCCACATAATAAATACGTAAATAATAAATAATATTATAACAAACAGTACAAGTGATAGCAAGAGTATTCGTGTGTGAACTGATTGCTGCTAATGTCACTACTCGTAAAATAATAGAGCTACGTAAACTTGATAAAAAATATCTCATTTTATGAATAGTAAATCTAATTAATCATGTTCAATTAATTTATGCAACATTTATCCTTTTTATGATACTGAAAACATTTGTTTCTACTTTTGAGTGAGTATTAAGTGTGACAGAAATGTTATTCAATATTTTGACTGGCAATTTTTCAGATATAGCCAGGGTCTGCCTAATAGTATCTATTCAAATAAGAGTAAGCTTTCAGACATCTGACGCACCTGACATTCTTGGTCTAATCTTGAAAGTATATCAGGAATTACAACTTTCATACATAAATAAGTATTAGAGATAATGAGTTTGTTTCCCCTAGTGCAGTTGGAGAAACAAAATACATTGAAAAAACGCTAAAAATATCCATTTTATTCCATTTAGAAAGATATATATCATTTATATATTTTGCTTATCAAGGTATTTATGTTATTGTTTTCCCATTATGTGATTTGTGGCACCGAGTACCTACTTCTCTCATATCATTTGAGTTACGAGCCTTATTTTTCTTAATTACATTTCGCTCACATAATTATTCTGTGATTGATATTATCAGATATTATTTATATTATCTTTATGAATGGCCATATATCGTAAGATGATCAAGTAATATCTATTTTATTTTGCTATGATATTCCATAGGCATTAACCGTGGCATCAAAATAGAAAAAAAAATGAGAATGCTTTCTAATTACAATTTTATAAAAGCATGGTTTGAAGGCACTTCAAGGAATCGTATCAATATCTTTTTGTTTTATGAGAGAACCTTCGTATTGTTCTGCAAATACAACTCTGAAGACCTCAAGAAAAGTCCTTATTGCTTCCTAATGAGTCTTCGAAGAATTCTTTCTTAAACGGGATTTTTGGCTTTTCGAAGGACGAAAAGGATTTCTTGTATCTTTGAACGGTACGATATATGAATGGACGGAAGTTGCCTAGTATTTGTCTGGAATATGAATCACGATTCCACGAACACTGTGCTAGGCAAAGAGTGTAATCCTCGTTTCATTAGAACATCATTATATATTGTAATTTTATGAAGGAAAGGAAAATAAATATGAAATAGCTTTTATATATTCTTCTGGAAGAAAAATGACACGTGATGAATGGAAATTTTGAATGTATTTTTAAACAACTATAAGTGTTCATAAGAAAACATGACATTTCAAAGCGGGTACTCAATTTTTTTTCATTTGTAACGCAGTGTAATCAAACAGTATAAATAAGTTTTTACCTATGTATTTATCCAGACTAGTTATAAATGTGCTAATGTTATCTATAATTGATTCGTGTCTTAGCATAAACAAAAAATTATATAAGAAATATCTTACACAATAGATGTATTGTGTTGCAGCCGGAGAATAAAATTTAATTTCGAATTCTTGCAAGGAATCTCGAGTACCTATTCCACATACATATAACTTCACAGTTCTGTAGTATAATATGAAATTTGATTTGATTTCAGCAGCACTACCTCACAATACGGTATATATCGCACAATGAAATAGGAAAAATAATTATATTGAAGTCTACTCATCCCCGTCAATTGTATTGCTTACTTGAGTTTGCCTGCGATACTGAAGGAAGAGGGTTCAACTGGAGTCTCTATCTTTTATTTGTTATATCTTTGATTTTTTAAAATATTTTTTTTCCAGCTCTTTATTATTGCGTTAATTAATTTTGCAAAAATATGTAACCAAGAGTTGTAACGATCAAATTTTATATATTCACTACTGGCTCATAAATAGTTTATTTTTTTGAAATGGAAAATCATCAAATGACCCCTCTTGCTCTGGATGGGGTAAGACGGAAGCGTCAGACTCCTATTGACCAAAACCCACCGTACCTTTTGCTCCGAGCCAGGCCGGGGTACAGCATTGCGCTTGTACCAGCAACCCGGCTTGGCATCGGTCTTAGGGCATCTATAGTGGTCTGATGGGTCCTTGAGGTGTGCGCGGTACCTTAAGTGCCGTATGCTCGGGTCTGGTTCTGATCGGCCGGCGGTTACCCTTGCTCTTCGTCCGCAGACCCGCGCTTACGTTGGCTAGAGATCATCAACGGCCGGGTCGTATCCTGCGGTGGCTGGGGCGTGAAGAGGATCGTTCCCTTACGTGGTCGGATTGAATAGTTCCTAGCATGTTAATTTTTAATTATTATTTTAACCGATAGTAAGTAAAAATTAACATGTAAATACCAAAGCACTAAAAGCCTTTTCACTGGTGTGTTGAAGGCATGGAGATATCCAAATAATATTTGGGTGGAAACATAAGCTGGCCATGGTTTAAATATTTTGATATGTACATTGGGAAGGAGGTTTCGTTCTAATACGAGAAAATGTACTCTGAAAGGTTGGAGCTACTTTACGCCTCTGTTATAAGAAGGGCTTGACTGATTTTAGCCACGTAGTTGTCAACTTCAGGCTTTTGTGTATGTTTTTCCATTGATTCCAAAGAATTGAGAGGTAATTTTTTAGCTCGTACTAAATCATGACCCCAATATACGACTGGATGAAACATACATGGAACTAGGCAAAGAGAGTGTCTAATCGAACTATATGTATTTATTTGGGTTAACTATAATAGTATAAATAAGTAGAAAGAAGTCAAGGACTACTGTGTATATACATAGA